TTTGGGACCCTGTCCTCCCTAAATCTCTCAACTTCTTGTTTGATCCTCTCCAGGCCAATGATGTCCTCATCCTTCGAAGCCATGAATCCAATGCCCCTGGGTCTGCTGGCGGCCAGGCCTCGGAGAAGCCGAGGGAGGGGCCAGGGAAGTCCCGAAGGGCACTACCTTTTACGGAGAAGAAGAAAAAACCAGAGACGTTTAATAAGACCCAGAATCAGGAGAACACTTTCCCTTGTAAAAAATGTGGCAGGTAAGATGTATCTCCACAGGGACCTAGCAGGGCAGCGGTGGTTGGTGCCCCCCCCCGCCCCCACCTCCAGTAGAGGTTGGTTGGGAAGGAGGAGGTAGTCTGAGCTTTCGCCTGGTCTTCTGGGCTCAGAGGGTTGCTAGGGCAGTGATGTCACTGGGCAGCTTGTGGAAGAGGGATGATGGCACTGCATCTAGAACCCATGCCTCCCCCAGTTGGAGGGTGGGGGTAAGCCACATGGCACTCTGCAAGTCAGGAAGTGTCAGGGGCCCTCCCCGTGCCCCCTGCCTCCACCCCTGTCCCCACACATACTTTGTCTGGTGGGCCCAGTCCGGTGGGGACATACCTCTTACTTGAGCCCCTCTTGCTTGGCTGCAGAGTGTTTTACAAGGTGAAGAGCCGCAGCGCCCATATGAAGAGCCATGCAGAGCAGGAGAAGAAGGCTGCCGCTCTGAGGCAGAGGGAGAAAGAGGCAGCAGCTGCTGCAGCCACGGCCGCTGCCTCCCCCCACCAGCCGGCCCTGCGGGAGGAAAGCACTGGCGAGAGGGGCTGACACGTGCAAGGCTCCCCCAGCAGACCCGGGACCGGCTGCTCTTCCTGGGAGGCGGGTGCTCCCCGCACCAGCTAGCACCCTGGAACCTACAGAGGGAGAGAGGAGAGATCACGTGGACTTTTTTCAGAAAAACAAGACAATAAAATAAACAGCTCTTTTATTTATAAAGGCCCCAGGGGCAGTGTTAAGGGCTGCAGGATCCAGTTCCCTGTGCATTCAGTCTGTCGGAAGTTGTCCTGTTTTCCCGGACCTGTGAGCGACCCTGCTGGCTAGGGCTGCCCTGTGGGAGGGGCTCCAGCCGCCCTGCTGCCTCTCCCTGACGCTGCTCAGTCTCTTTCCTTCCTCTTTGTTCTCTCTGCTCCCCTTGGTCACCATGGAGAGCCAAGCACAAGCTCATCCCGTTGCAGCATTATCCCCCCTCTCCTGAGGAGCTCAAAGGCCCTGCCCTGAGCCCTGGGGAAAGGGACTGGGGTGGCCACCTCTGACAGGGAGCTCAGCCTGTTCCCGTGCTGGCCCTGCACAACAATGTCCAGGCCTAAGTGGCTCCAGTGACCCTGTCCTCCTAGAGGCTTCCTTCTCCCTGGGAGGGGAGCCACCAGGATGCCCAGAGGGAGAGACGGAGGACAGGTACCTACCTATCCCTGTACTACTTGTTAGCAGTTTGCTGGGGCTGGAAACTTTCCTTTCGTGTGTGGGGAAAGGCCAGTGTTCCTGTCCAAGCTCAGCCTAATGGAGGGAAGGGGACTGCTGAGGTTGGAAGCTGGAGGGCTGGGCGTGGGGGAAGTTCCGATTAGCCCTGGCTCTTCCTGCTTCCCACCCTTTTGCCAAATAATCTTGGGGCCCTGGAGCCTGCTAAGGGAGCCTAGCCTAGGCCCAGCCTGCCCCTCCTTGGCTCAAGTTCTCTGCTGACCTCTGTCCTGCCCTTGGCAGCTGCCACCCCACCCAGTCTAGGGCTGATGTCCACAGCCCAGCCCCCAGCCCTGCGTGCTGGAGATGTCTGGATCCTTCCCTGGGAGGGGGAGGTCTCCTACCCAGATCGGACAGGAGCCTTCATTCCTTGACTTGTGTCATTTGGGAGCTATTTATTTATTCTTAATATTTAATTTTTAACATCCTCTCAGGGACCAGGGGCCTCCTGCTTTCCAGAGGCCCAAGTGCATTTACCCCAAAACAAGGCACCTTCTTGGCATCTGCCCCAGTGCCCCCCACCCCATTCCCAAGACCCTGAGGTCCCTCACCTCATTGCTCTGGAAGCTCTTGCCAATAGGAATGCTGGTAGTGCTGATAGAGGGTGGAAGGCGTCACCAAAGCCACACAGAGACTGGCAGGAGCAAGGGAGATCAAAGGCTGTTCTTGTTGCTACCTCTCCTCTGGCTGTACTTTCAAATTGCCTGAGGAGATTAGTTGGAAGCCAGAATTCTGGTTCTGTTTCTGGCTTGAAGAAGCCATATTTGGCATGGAATCACTGTAGTGAAAGGGCTAGAAGGTTCTGGAGGCCTCTACACTTGCCAGTTCCACAGGAGGGCTGAGTTATTTTCTGATCTTACTCAACTTCAGTTGTACAAAAGAAGTTCTAAGTGAATGCAAGTATACAACAGGTCAACATGTTAGGAAGGAGCAAAAAGTATTCCTTCTGCTGCTCTTTATGAGATAGCCTAAAGGCATCGTGTTGGTAGCTGGGAGTGGGGAGGGAGTTTTATTTCTAAACTATGCACTATCAGGTATTTTTCAGCATTCATTTATGTATTGATATGGTTCTGTAGGACCCCAGCTATGGGAGGAACAAAATTCTCCCCCCAGCTCTCAGACAGCTAACAGATTTCCAACTTCCCAGTTAATTTTCTCCATAAGCTTCTATAAGCTCAGTGTCCCAAGATTGGAAAAATCTGGTATACCTCCCAGAGACAGGAAGGTATCAAATGTAGGCTCTCTTCTAAATCACTTGTGTAATATCAGTGCCTTTGCAGCTTCGCCCCAAAGTGCTACTTAGGTTTCCCACTGTTTTGTCTATTTAAATTGTATTTAGTTGCGGGCCCCTTTATGGACATGTTGTAACAGAAACCTCCTTCAACTAGAGTGATTCTCCTTTTCTAAGTTCATGGAGACCAGACCAGGTGAATGTAGGTGGAGAAAATCAAGATGGTACCTCTCTGTATTAATCCCACCGACACGGTATTTTAGAAGGGTTCATGCTCCAGAACAGGTTTATATCTAGAATGCAGTGTGAAGGTTGAAATGTTGAGAGAGCAGATGCAATTATGGCCTGTGACCTGCCAATTAAGTGGGCACCACCGTAGAAGCTGGCATAGGTATATCCTTTATGGTGCTTTCTCCCTGTGAACACATTAGGCTCATCTTTGGGTTTTCTTATGTTTCTTCTACTGAGAGCTCTTAGCTTTAAGTAGTTCAATGACAAACACCTCCAGCTTTGTAACGTCCTCCCCACACCATCTTACATAACCGTCTGCCAGCCTCCATCTGCACTCAGCAGGGGCATGAAACTAACCCAGTGCCTGTATTCCAGACCATTTCTGAGGTCTCTTACCCACCCAAGGAGACAGTGCTTCAGAACTGTCCTCCATGCCTTCAGCAGCCCCCCTCAAAGCTAAGGTACACACTTGTCCCTTCTGCTACCCCGCCTCCACCCCTGGCACCGAGGTCGTGTGCTGCTTATGTCTAAAGGGATCCCCTATTTTAACTGCCTCAGTGACCTAACCTCTTTCTTCTCATGTGCCAGATGTTAAGATGAAGGAGGAATACAACACATACTCAAGCCCCAGCTGTTTAAATATGTTTTCACTGGGGCTCACTTTTCTTGGATGGTATTTATTACCAGACTGATAAGCCTAAATCCTTAGGTTTACAGGAAGTATGCCTATTTTTATAAAACAATTGTATGTCCTCCACAAGTTTTGCCGTGTTAATATTTGCCTCTGATAATTTGCAGCTGTTTCACCTTTTCCTCATTTGTCTCTCAGTTGAAGGCCTTGGAGGGAACAGCACAGGAACAGCCTTGGCAGTCTGTAATTATTGTACAAATATTTTAATAGCATATAAATAAGTATATTCCTCTTATTTTGAAAAAATGATCAGACACTGCCTTTTGTGTGTTTGCTGCCTGTGGCACCCTTTTTTTAAAAAGACTGTTACATATTAAAATAGTGTACATATATATATAAATATTACCTCTTTCGCTGTACAGTTGTGATAGACCAGACTGGAGATTTTATTTTTTGTGTGCTTTTTATAAAAAAAATTAATACACTAAAGAAAATCTTGCTGATGTGATTGTAATGTACCTATGTAACTTATTTACTTTTGAATGTTCTGTATCTTTAAACCTTTTATTAAATAAGGTCTTAAAAACAGAGTTGAACGCTGTGTTATTTCGGGGTGATTTTCACCGTCTGAGATCGACGTAAACAGGCCTTGTTTTTGCTCGCAGGAGATGACTCGACATTTTTGAACCATAAGCACTCTTTTCATTAGCCCATTGTCAATGATGCCAGGACAGGAAAAATGAACACACTAGTGTCTGCCTGGCTGTAAAAGTTACTGAATATTACTGTTTTACAAAAGTTTGGAAATCTCAATGGACTGTTTCACACAAAAACATGTGAATGGCATACTTCCAACATGTTAGTTTCTTTGGGATGAAATACGGAGGGTGCAGAATGCAGTCAGGTGGCACAGGGAAGCTGTGTGACTGAAGAGGGTGTTTTCGGGTTGAACCAGGGACAGGAGCCCACCTGTCTTCATGGCTGCATTTTTAATAGCATGTCTTTTCTTAATTATATTTTATTAATTATGCTGTTATAGTTGTTCTGATTTTCCCCCTTTGCCCCTCTCCACCCAGCAATTCCCCCACCATTGTTCATGTCCATGGATCATGCATATAAGTTCTTTGGCTAATCCATGTCCTTCAACGGTATCGTCTTAAAACCCCTGGAGAAATAGATTTTAAACCCGGTGCTTTGTAAAAAAAAAAAAAAAAAAAAGAGTCTGGAAAATATGAAAAAAAAATGCGCCATCAGAGAAACTAGCAAACTGGAGGCCTTAACTGGCACCATGGCAACTACTCCAACCCGCAGGCCGCAGGAGCGCAGGAACCTCCGTCATCTGGCTCGCCGTTGCCATGACTACACTGGCACGACCGGGCCGCAGGGGGCGGGGCGAGCCACTCGCAGGGGGGAGGGCCGCCCTCTTTTGCCGCAGTACCTCCTCCGCTGGCTGCGGGTCTGGTGGTCGTTCAGCTGTAGCTGCAGCACGCACCTCAGCCGCCCTACCTCCCCTGTATCAGGTCCCCTGCACCGGAGAAGAAGCTGCTCCTGCTGCCGCCTCTGCGGGACAGTCTCTTCCCTGGAGGGGCCACTCAACCCTCGTCTGCGAAGCAGCCGCTCCTCTGTCACCCCAAAGCCCGACTGCGTCCGCGGACGCCTGTCGACTGCGGGAGTAGCGACCACCCGGCGCCCCGGCGGCCGAGAGGAGGCGGCCAGGACCCGCGACCACACCCCGGCGGCCTCTCCGGCTCGGCGGCTCCAAGCTTCTGCGCCACAAGGCGACACAGTGCTTGCAGGTGAAGAACCCCAGCCTCAGACCCCGACCTGAGACCCAGGGTGGCCGCGGCCGCGTGATTGACTGACATTCCCGGGCTTTGCTCTGAGAACCCGCCGTGAAAGGAAGACACCGCGACTCAGGTGTCGTTTGTTAATTGGGCCCTTGATAGTTGGGGAAATGGCGATGACACTGTTGGAAGACTGGTGCAGGGGAATGGATGTGAATTCCCAGAGAGCCCTGCTGGTCTGGGGGATCCCAGTGAACTGTGATGAGGCTGAAATCGAAGAGACCCTCCAGGCTGCGTTGCCGCAGGTTCCTTATCGAGTGCTTGGGAGAATGTTTTGGAGGAAAGAGAACGCGAAAGCAGCCTTGTTAGAGCTCACTGGCGCTGTGGATTACGCGGCCATCCCCAGGGAGTTGCCGGGTAAAGGAGGGGTCTGGAAAGTGGTCCTTAAACCTCCGACTTCTGATACTGAATTTTTAGAAAGGTTGCATCTCTTCCTAGAGAGAGAGGGGTGGACCGTGCAAGATGTGGCCCGTGTCCTTGGGTTTCAGAACCCCGCTCCGGCCCCAGGCCCAGATATGCCAGCAGAGATGCTGAACTATATTTTGGATAATGTCATTCAGCCTCTAGTTGAATCTATATGGTACAAGAAGCTGACGCTGTTCTCGGGGAGGGACATCCCGGGGCCGGGGGAGGAGACCTTTGGCCCCTGGCTGGAGCACACTAATGAGGTCCTAGAGGAGTGGCAGGTGTCTGATGTAGAAAAGAGGCGGCGGTTGATGGAGAGTCTCAGAGGCCCTGCAGCTGACGTCATCCGCATCCTCAAGACTAACAACCCTGCAATAACTACCGCGGAATGCCTGAAGGCGCTTAAGCAGGTGTTTGGCAGCATCGAGAGTTCTAGGGATGCGCAGATCAGATTTCTGAACACTTACCAGAACCCGGGAGAAAAGTTGTCGGCTTATGTCATTCGTCTGGAACCTCTGCTGCAGAAGGTGGTGGAGAAGGGGGCCATAGATAAAGATAACGTGAACCAAGCCCGCCTGGAGCAGGTCATAGCAGGAGCCAACCACAGCGGGGCCATCCGAAGGCAGCTGTGGCTGAACGGAGCTGCGGAAGGGCCGGCTCCTAACCTCTTTGAGTTGCTGGTGCAGATCCGCGAGGAGGAGGCCAAGGAAGAGGAGGAGGAAGCTGAGGCCGCCCTCCTGCAGTTAGGCTTGGAGGGGCACTTCTGTGTCATGGGAAATGGAGATATAGCGCAGTCCTAGACAACAGCTTCTTTCATTGCATCTGTGCTGTCTTATTTGTATGCCACTTAGTCCTGTTTTCTTGGGGAGAATCAGGCCTGTGTATTGTAACAGTAAAATCGTGCAAGCAGCCACTCTGGTGTGAGTCATGCTGGCCAAAATGCCAGGTAAAGGCTTGTACACAGGTGTTCAGTGCAAGGGGTCATGGCATCATTTGTGAAAATCGTGAACTTGTGACACTTCTCATTGAGGTACTTAAGTGTAAAATTCCATGTTGAGACCTTTAGTTCAGAGCCTGGCTAACACAAGTGTTCAGTAAAAGTATCAACTGTTATTACTAATAATGTGAATGTTTGTGTTTACTGTAAATTGTCCCTGTTTTATGTTAATGGAAAGAAATGTGAACTAGCTATTCTTGGTGATTCAACTTCACAATGCAAATTTTATTTATTTATTTATTTATTTATTTATTTATTTATTGTTCAAGTGGTTTTCTGTCTTTTACTCCCATCCCAGCCCACGCCCCCAGCACTCCCCACCTCCCTCCCATTTCCACCCCCCCTTAGTTGTTGTCCATGTGTCCTTTATACTAGTTCTTGTATAACAGTGCTAATTTCTTACTTTTCAACTGTACACGGCTGGAACAGTTTACTTGACAAGTATTCTGAGACTACAAAATGGGGTGTTAGAAAAATTCTACAATTACAGAGCTGTGTAAATTAGAATTTTTCACTGTACCAGATACAGATATAAATTGCATGGGGAGGTTAATATGAGCCAGTTAAGTATCCATTCCCCCATTTCAAATCTATGTCATTGAATAGTAGTTCTCTTTATTCATGCTGTTCTAAGTGTTCTAAATTTGAAGTTATCAAATACATGTATATCAAATACATGAATATTTTAAAATCTCATTTTTCTGCATGTATAAAAATGTTCAGAGTAATTAAGATCTATATCTTTTACCAGGCTTCACCACGTCACACAAAAAAACTTCAATTTAGAAAGCTTAAAGATTTCTTTATCTTAAGCTTTATATCATACTCTTAAGTTTAAATTGTAGTACTCTTAATATTCAATTTTGTGTGTTTTCAAAAAGGCAAATGTTAAGCGATTAAATAAGTGTAAGTAAATATAACTTACTGGTAAAATGCTGGGAAACCCTGCAGGGGGTTTAGGAGGTTACCCAGCAAATCCCCTTTTAAGTTCCTTTCAGCTAAAATACTGTTTTGCTTCAGGAATAACTATGTAAAAGTAAGGTTTTGACTTTACAGCATCTGTTTTATATCAAGAGGATATAAAAAAGGGAAATATGGCTTAAAAACGTGTTTATTGGGCTGCAGAGGTTCAGTGACTGACGATGCGCAGCTTTTGAGGCTGAATTAGACCCAGAAGAGATTAAACGAACATTGTGTTCAGTGAGGGTTTTCTCACAGTAACAAGGCTTTAAAGTTATAGCCAACCTATTGTGACAAGCACCAGCTAAGGAATGTAGTTATAAAGGCTAATAGTGGTATCAGGTTCTACCAGCTTTTCTACACATTCATCTCACTTCCCATGTGACATCAGTTCTTCCCTCACACTCTGAACACATCTCTACAGATTTGACCCCCACAAACGTCCTCATTTCCTCTCTTCCCACTCATTGCTTCCCCCTTTATTCCCACCCCACATGCCCCCTACACATACATACACACACAGCTGTGGAATGTGTTATCCAAGGACTGATTTCCAAGGACTAATTTCTTTGGAATTATACGAAGTTTACATACTTGTTCTAATTAGCTAAAATTGATGGTTATGTAGCCCAAAAAAGGTGCAGATTGTTTTTTTTTTAGAAAATAACACCATTTATTACTATTTTAAAACAAGTCTCACAAAATAACATTCAGAAACTCAACTTTTCTAAATAATTTAACACATTAAGTTTAGTCATAAAGTCATGCTACAAAATTCCTGCATATAAAAAGATTATTACCAAAGTTTTAATAGGTGTTAATAGATATTAAATGTTCTTCAGAATGGAGTTGGTTCTAGAAGCCAAAGATTCTGGAATGACACTCGAGATGAGGACCGAGACCACTGACACCACGGGAGCCAGAGCCGGCAGTACCTGTGAACCTCCCAGCCCCGGGCCCCCAGGCTTTCGGTGGGAATGACCCCTCCAGGCAATAGCACCTCAGAGGCAGATACCCTGCTGACCACGGAAACAAGTAACTCCCCACCCTCCTAACCCTCACCTGAACTTCATTTAGCCAACATCTAAATTAATGTTTAAAATCTAGATGTGGAGAAGATAAAGTTTCTGAGTAGGAGAATTCTACTTGACACGTCTCCCCAAGGAAGACTGTCGATGCGGTAGATGGGGAAGGTGACACCAAGTAGGGAAATAAGGAAATCCTGACTCTGATGATGCCAACAGACAACTGTTGCTCCGGGGGCTTAAGATTAGCAGCAAGGGTTTGATTCTCTAATATCCACATGCACGTAAGACATTTACCCATCTGCCCTTTGGAAATACTTTCGACCAACATCCAGTTCATAATTTTAAAGTGCAAATCTGTTGAAAAATAGTTTACTCTCCCCCACCCCCTTATTAAATTTGCTAGATCACAATTTGGTTGGCTGCTTCCTCTCTAATCATAATACGGGAAATTAACTAGAATCCAGTTATGACTTCTCCAAGTGTCAAGTGAAAATTTACCTTAGGTCAGAAAAAAGTAAGACTCAGTCTGGTTTTTCCTTTTAGTTTTCTTCCTTTGCAGTCACTAGTTTATAAAAAGGCAGGAATAGAGAGAGATGGGAGATTTCTAAAGTTCAGTGATTTTTTTAAAATACTCTTATTAATTTTTTTTATTGCACCTATTTTGTGGTTTTCCAAAAATAAAATAAAATAAAACAACCTCATGCTGGAGTGAAGATGAAGGAACACGGTAGAGTTAGCTGTGTCAGAGTACCAGCTCTGCTACACTAAAGATTGTTTTGTACTTAACTTACAGACACATTAAGCAGCCCAAATAAAGAAAATGTATGCCAAAGGAATTAAATTCTGGTAAAGAGTAACTTTCAGTTTAGCAGTTCGCTTTCTCCCTTTACCACTACTTACAATACAAAATCTTTGTGACTAAGAGACTTCAGTTAGAGAGATGCTAAGAACTTGTGATTGATGCTTGGCACTTCCCCCCAATTTTTTTTAAGTTAATGATTCAATCCAATCTTCCTAGTTCTACTCTTTCCCCATGTAGTCCTAAGAAAAACCCAGGTGGGAGGTTCTAGGTCACAAAGATAACTACCTTCAGCTCTACTTACACATCACCAATTCTGAAAATAAGTCAACAGTTAAGATTCATTTCTTACTTTTCCTTATCCTACTTGAAACAGGCATCAGAAGAAGCATCTATTCAAGTTAAAATTTATCTTTCCAAACTGGAACCACATTTAAGGGACACCACCTCTATTTGTGGACTGGATCCAGTAACCAGACATTCTGATCACATCTAAAACGTGTTTACACCTGTAACTTTCATACACAATTACTAAGTTTTATACAATATTTCTTGTATTTAATGACTGCTACAGTCTGCAAAGTCCTGTGCATTACTGGACAATGAATGAACACTTAAAAAATGACAATTTTCTAAAATATACTTAAAAGTGTTAAGCTTTAGAGACAAACCAAAATCTACCATACACTTGGATTCTGTTGATAGTTAAGAGAGAGGTAGGTTAATAATCATTGTTCTAAGATAAGCAAAATGCTAAGAAATAAAAGTTGAAATCCTGCTGAAAAAAAAGTAAGTTGAACCTTCCAGCCCTGAGTTTCTAGTGTGATGTGAGAACTATTAAAATGAGCATTACAAAAGAGGGTAACACCAGTGACCATTTCCTTTCATACATGATTATTAAATACATCACCTCTCATACAACTAAGGTGGCCTGGCTACAGAGTGAAAAATAAATGTACTCTGGACAAAAGGAATGTGGGTATAAAGCACTGGTTCTTGAATAGGGGTGAATTTGTTCCAATCCCTTTGCCCCGGGTGACACATGGCAACGTATGAAGACATTTTTGGTTATCACAAGTGGCAAGAAGCCTCTACTTGACCTCTAATATGTAGACGTCGGAGATGCTGCTAAACACCCTATAACACACAGGACAGCCCCCCACAACATTATCGAACCAAGATGTTGATACTGCAACGGTGACTGATTTAAAGGAACAAATGCCTGTGAACAGAGAACACAAAACCTTTCAAACCTGACCAGGTAATACAGCCACGAGCTTAGACTTAGGGAACACAGAAAAGTTATGTTAGTTGATAGACTAAAGTCAAACTTCCTGTGGAAATATTATAATACTTAACTGACAACAGAGCTCTACCATCATTACAAAAATAAAATTTAAATGAATGACCCACTAAAATGGCATAACACTTTAAACCAGGAGCACAGAGAGAATCCACACAAGCAGGCTAACACTCTAAGATGCATAAATCAAAGGCATTTATATCAGATAAATTTGCAGCAGTAAAGGATGAGCTAAGGAATGATTTGAGAGAATATTCTGAACTTCTTAATATACCCCATCTTCCATTTTCTAATGGCATGGCTTCTGGGTTTCATTCCATGCAAAGGATGCATAGAAGTCATTCCAATATTTGTTGAGTAGAACTGAATATGAGTTTGGTGTGAAATGGACACAGAAAAGCACCTTACATTTTTTTCATAACATTTCTTTCATAACTACCAGTGATGAAAAGACATTAAGAAACAAGGAGACAGATAAAATTAGTTTCTATATTGCAGAATTTAAAAAGAAACCTAAACAACGTAAGCCATTTTACAAAAAATTCAGTTTGAAGTCAGTCACCATTCCCTATTATTTTTCACTTCCAGAGTAACTTTTAGGAAATGTACCCATATACAGCAATATGGCTTCAAGCTTGCCTACTAGATTAAATTCATACGACAAGAAAACCATCTTCCCTCTTGGCTTCTTTCTGTGCCTTAAAATCACCAAGGGGCAGGCTCACTACCTCTGGTTCACAAAAGAAGTTCCCAGAGGCTTTGAATGGATAAGCCAATCAGAGGAAAGATTACTTCCTGTCACATTGTGAGGAAGAGCTAACAGGTAGCTAAAAAAGTGTTGGGTTAATTTTTCCTTTTCAGAATTGATTGTCGAAGCGGTGGTCCCTTTTGATCAGTGTGACTATGAAAAATCATCTAATTCCTATTTAAAGGATAACTGAAAACTTCTGAAACCCTGGACTACTTATGAACTCACTTTTTAGAAACGGTTCTTCCCTCTGACTGATTTTACACAAGTAAATGAGAAAATGAAGACCAAGTCCCTGGTTGAGGGCCTGCAGGCACAGTCTGGCAGAGGGCCTCTGACTTCCTTGCTGCAGTCTATCAGTGATTCGGCCATGGACTCTGTGGCCTTCGTCTGGTTACTGACCACTGTATCTTGCACTTTCCATAAAGAATTTTTTTCTTACATAATAAATTCTAAGCTCTGCATCCAACTCTTGCTCTGCAATTTTGAGTTTAATCAGCTACAATGCTTCACTGAGGAAGCAGTCCTCAAAAATACTGCCATATGCCTGGGATCCTATACTGAAATATCTCTTTTCCCTCTATAATCACTTACACAATTCATTTTAAGAGCTGTTTAACTTAGACATTCTCTAAAAATATATTTCAAAATACTAAATTTAATTTGTTGAAAGGTATCAAATTGAGGCTTTAACTTTTATACTCTTATAACGGTCACTTCTCTCAATACAATGTTTAATCAACCAAAGTTATTAGGGCAAATTTTGAGACATATGAATGGCCAAGACTTAGACTAGGAATTCAACTATAACTACTGCTTATATATACTTTCTAATATAACATCTAAAGAGCTATAAACCCCAAAGCGTGCCTCAGATCAGGCCCACGCAAGTGACATGACCGGTGTTGGTCAGAAGAATGATAGCGACAGTCACGTTAACCACTGACCTGCACTGCAGATTGACTGACTGCTGTGCGCAGTGACGCGAGTGGCCACAATATTCACACGGCCTAAATTCCAGTTGACAATGTACGCATTTTTTGAAAAACAAGTAAGTAAACATAAACATGGGCTATAAGGCCTCTGAGATATTAATTTTTCTCTTTTTCGCTGCATATTTTTTTTCACTATGACTTGGAGTCTTGCTTCTACGGCTGCTGCTGAGCGTCTGAGAGCAGCTCTTCCGGTCCCCGTGCTGCCTCCTGAACCGAGGGCACGACACGTTTGTGCTTCTGAATCATAAGGAGACGCACCTTCAGGAAAGACGGTCTACAGGGTCAAAAGTTAAGTATATATATTTAAATGCCTGACCTAAAAACAATGAAAGGAAGAGCCCATTTGTTTCTTTGTTGTTAAAAATGATTGGTCGCTCTACAAAGATTTCAGCAGATGGAGACCGAACAAAAACTGAAAATTTGTACTTTAACAAAAGCGGACTACAATGTATAAAGTTAGTGTTACCATTTGGGGGGAGAAACAGTAAATAGGTTAAGAAAAAAATAGGAATTAGAGATTTGTTTTATCTTAAGAACATTCGCTCCACAGAGAATCTTTAAAATAGACAATTATACAATATTTAAATAAGTTAACACAAAGCAGAAAATGTGGTGTTAGTTTTCTTCTTCCTCATCCTGTTTAATTACTGGGGTACCTAGAATGAAAAAGAAATTATTTCTGGTCACTCTCAACAGATTGTTAAAATTCTAAGTAAAAATATTTTCCCATTAACGTCAGAAGCTTGTGGATGCTGTGAAGTACCATAATAAAAATAATTTCATAAAATAATCTATTTCATTTCAAATTATCCAAAAAGCCTCTCAGAATTCTCAAACGGATTAATATAAGTACTAATGAGTATTTGGGTTACCAAATGCAGTTTCAAATAAAAATGCCTAAAGGTGCCAGGCAAAAAAAAAAAAAAAGCCCTATATATACTAAAAACTTTGTATGTTAAACACAAAGAAATACTCTTCATTTTCATAATAAAACATGCAATACGAGTATTGCCAGATAGCTGGATTTCTGGATTATTCCCACAACTATTCAACCTTGATAATAAACAGGCAGGGTGGCGGGGAGAAGGACCAAAGTACACAAAACAAAACACATCTACAAGCTCTCAGCGGGCCAGGGGCCACCCGTCCCTGAGCTCCAGCATGTGAAGCCTGGGCAGTCTGACCTGTGCACTCCCCAGTCCAGCCACACTTACCAACTCACTGTCTCCCTAGCTCATCTGGGAGACACTCTTACCCAGGACCCTTGGTTAACAAAGGTCCTCCATTTTGAAATGCCCTCCCCAACTATCCTACAATCTAAACCCTACTGTTAATTAATAACTAACTCCAATGGTTCCTCTCCCTGTGATCCTCCGTAAATGAACATTTCTGTTCTTTATAGCAGTGAGCAGAGTTTTACCTCCCTATACTCCTCACAGCATCTGTTGGTGGGGGAAGGAGTGACTGTTTTATTAAAGTATAACAAACGTACAAAGTATAGCAAACAAAGTACAACATACATATAAAGTACACAAAAAGTACACCAAGTACACAAAAATTGTACATATTGGCAAATGTACGGAGACAACACACCTGATAACCAGCATCCAGAGTAGGAAGAGACCAATGTAATCAGAGCCCCCAAACCTCCTCAGCCCCCCTTCCAGTCAGTATTCCCCCACGAAAAGTATATTCCACCCTAATGTCTAACACCATAGGTTGTCTTGCATGTTTTTGAAATCGATATGATTGGAATGATACAGCATGCACTTTGGGTCTGGCTTCTTTTGCTCAACATTATGTTTGTATGATTCATCTATATTGAGTGCAGACGTAGTTCATGCATTCTCATTGCCATTTAATATTCCACTGCATGAATGTCATTATTTATTTATCTACTCTCTTGGTGATGGGCATTTGGATTATTTCCAATTTACAGCTATTGAAATAGTGCTGTTATGAACATTCTCATACATGTCTTTGGTAAACAAACATACCCTTTTCTTTGGGGTATACAGCTAGTAGAAAAACTGCTGGGTGCTAAGGGACATGTATGTAGGTAGAGCTTTTGTAGATACTGTCAGTTTTCCAAAATGGTTATACCAAACAACGTGACCAGCCAGCAGGGTATGAGAGTGCTGGTTGCTGCACACCCCACTAACATTTGGCATTGTCTGTCTTTTTGCATTTTAACTTGTTAAGATCCCGCAGGTTTGCTTATAAGTAACAGAAGAGTAGCAAAAAGAGGCAAGTTAGCAGCCGTGGCCACCTCTGTTCTTCTGGTCTATCCCACTGGTTTAGTACAGGCCAAGGTGGTTCTTTTAGGGGCTGTTCAGATTAGTCTGAGGGCAATAGTTCATTCCAAAATCTGTGTGGGTTAGTCTAGTCAGGGTGTACATGAGGGGCTCTGTTATATTCTTAAGGGAAGGGACTCACCTGTGTATAGTCCTGAAGGAAGTAAAGACCAATGGTTTCAAGTGGTATCCAGAGTCCAACCAAAGGTGAATATAAAAAGGCTGAATCCAAGACTCTGATGTCTCTACCCTTTCTTTTTTTTTAATTTTATTTTTAAATTGTGAATATTCATTCGCACAAACACAATATAAGTAATTTGAAGAGTAATAAAACCAATGATTGTATACTACCGTCCAATTTAGGAACTGGAACACTACCAGTAGAGCTTAGAAACCTGGCTGTCTCTTCCCGATTATTCCTGCACCTCCCACAAGAGGTTCTACACTGTCTTCGTCACGTTGCCCTTATGTATGTATCCACAGAGGGTTAAAAAAGAGAACATTCTGCATGATCCCGTTTATACAAAACTCTAAAGAATACAAACTAATCTACACGGACAAAAAGCAGATCAGTGACTGCCTTGAGAGGGATGGTGCTGAGAAGCAGAGGGGGAGATTGCACAGAAGCACAAGGAACCTTTTAGGAGTAACGCACATGTTCATTAACTTTCCCCCAGCTTTACTGAGATATGATTGACATATTACACTGTATGAGTTTAAGGTGTAAACATGATGATTTAATATACATATGTTTTATAAAATAATTATGCCAATAACATTAATTAATGCATCCATCACCTCACATAGTTATCTTAATTTTTTTAGTTTTCTTTTTCCTTTTAAACTTGATTCCTTCACCCTCCCACCGTGTAATTACCTTTTAGTGTATATGTGAGAACTTTTAAGATCTACTCTCTTAGCAACTTTCAAGTAAGTATACACTGTAGTATTGGTAACTATAGTCACCGTCACACATATCTTCATTATCTTAATTGTGGTGATGGTTTCAGTGATATATACGTATGTCAAAACATATGAAATTACACTTTAAATATGTGTAGTTAGCTGTATGTCAATTATATATCAATCAGGCTGTTAAAAGTTTTTGGTGTAGGAGAAGAGCTATTTAAGAGCCTTTTAACCTTGGCCAGCTAGCTCAGTTGGTTAGAGTACCATCCCTATATCCTGTGGCATATAGGGTTTGATCCCTGGTCAGGGCACATACAAGAATCAACCGATGAATGCATAAATAAGTGAAACAACAAAATTCTCTCTCTCAAATCAATCAGTCAATAATTTTTTAAACTTCTTAAAAATGTATTTTATTGATTATGCTATTACAGTTGTCCTATTTCACCCGCCCCCCCTTATTCCCCTCTGCCCTGCACATCCCCTCCCACCCACATTCCCCCTCCTTTAGTTCATGTCCATGGGTCATACACATAAATTCTTTGGCTTCTACATTTCCTATACTGTTCTTAACCTCCCTCTATTTTCTACCTATCATCTATGCTGCTTATTCTCTGTACCCTTCCCCACTGTCTCCTCCTCCCACTCCCCTGTTGCTAACCCTCCACGTGATCTCCATTTCTGTGGTTCTGTTCCTGTTCTAGTTGTTTACTTTGTTTTTGTTTTAGTTTTAGGTGTGGTGGTTTATAATTGTGAGTTTTCTGTCATTTTACTATACATGTGTTTTATCTTCTTTTTCTTAGATAAGTCCCTTTAACATTTCATATAATAAGGGCTTGGTGATGATGAACTCCTTGAACTTGACCTTATCTGAGAAGCGCTTTATCTGTTCTTCCATTCTAAATGAAAGCTTTGCTGGATAGAGCAATCTTGGATGTAGGTCCTTGCCTTTCATGACTTGGAATACTTCTTTCCAGCCCCTTCTTGCCTGTAAGGTCTCTTTTGAGAAATCAGCTGACAGTCTGATGGGAACTCCTTTGTAAGTGACTGTCCCCTTATCTCTTGCTGCTTCTAGAATTCTCTCCTTCATTTTAATCTTGAGTAATGTAATTATGATGTGCCTTGGTGTGTTCTTCCTTGAGTCCAACTTCTTTGGGACTCTCTGAACTTCCTGGACTTCCTGGAAGTCTATTTCCTTTGCCAGATTGGGGAAGTTCTCCTTTATTATTTGTTCAAATAACTTTTCCACTTCCCCTTCTGGTACCCCTATAATTTGGATGTTGGAACGTTTCAAGATGTCCTGGAGGTTCCTAAGCCTCTCCTCATTTTTTTGAATTCTTGTTTCTTCATTCTTTTCTGCTTGGTTGTTTCTTTCTTCCTTCTGGTCCACTCCAATGATTCGAGTCCCAGTTTCCTTTCCATCACTATTGGTTCCCTGTGCATTTTCCTTCATTTCACTTAGTGTAGCCTTCATTTTTCCATCTAATTTGTCATCAAAATCAACCAGTTCTGTGAGCATCCTGATCACCAGTGTTTTGAACTGTGCATCTCATAGGCTGGCTATCTCTTGGTTGCTTAAAAGTATTGTCTCTGGGGCTTTGATTTGTTCTTCTGTTTGAGCCATAATGTTTTGGTCTGTTTGAGCCTATTGTGTATGAGGGGCGGGGCCTTAGGTGTTCATCAGGGCGGGGCAACCCAGTTGTTGGGTTGTAGCCCTGTATGTGGGGGCGGGGTCAGAGAGGGAACAATGGCGCTTATTCCTCTGGCTCTTGGACTTCAATCCCCTCTGCCACTTCTCATAAGCAAATTGGGCCTTTCTGGTGCTGGTTCCCGGATAGGTGGGCTTGTACATTCTAAGAGCCTGTGGGTCTCCTCAACGAACTCTCCTGTGAGGCTGGGAGTCTCTCCTGGCACCTTTTCAATCAATGCTTTTAGGCTTTATTTCCCGTCGATGGGGCCCTGGGACAGACCGTCGCTGTACGGTCTGTCTTGCTGCCCCTTTTTGCCTAGTTTATCTGCACGGGAATGTGAGACTGCGGTCAGCCCCGTACCGCCTGCACTCTCAGGTCTGGCAGCCACCGCCTTTTCCTGCCGAGACCCCTCTCTGCCGGCCGGCCACCAACTCTGCCCCTCTTATAGGTCTGGACGAATGGCTGTTGGACTTCTGTACAGTTCCATTTTCTGTCTGTTCTGGTTGTGTTTTTGTTTCTAAATCTTTGTTGTCCTTAATTTTGGTTGTGTGAGGAGGCACAGTATTTCCACCTACGCCTCCATCTTGGCCAGAAGTTGTTGTTGTCCTTCTTTTGGTTGTGTAAGGAGGCACAGTGTGTCTATCTATGCCACCATCTTGGCCAGAAGTCCTCAATAATTTTTTTTTAAAGAGCCCTTTATGTCAATAATTCTGAACTGGATGACAGTTAAACACATCTCTTTTTTTTCCTTTTTTAATCCTTATCAAAGGACATGCTTATTGGTTTTAGAGAGTGGGGAAGGGAGGAAGAAAGAAAGAAAGAGACAGAAACATCGATTCACTGCCTTTCATAGGCGCCCCAACCAGGGACCAAACCTGCAACCCAGGCATATACCCTGACCAGGAATTGAATCTGTGACCTTTTGGTTTGCGGGATGATGCCCTTCCAACTGAGCTACACGGGCAAGGGCCAGATGAGCACATCTCTTCCAGGGAGACATATAAGAATCATTTGTAAAACTTTTTCAAACTATATAGTTTTCCTTCACTCTCTCCCCAGGGATTCTGAAATATCCTCCACAGGAATGCAGAACCACTTAAGAGCAACCGCCATAGTGAGCTGTGGTGGATAAAAGGGTTGACTACCAAACTTTATATAGGGGTAGTAAGGAAGAGATGAAGAGAGAAAGAATAGGAAGGATAAATCAGCAGGGCAGCAGAGGTGACGAGGCGGGGATCAAAGGGTTCAGGATCAAGGGCACCTCAACCATAGTCAGCTAAGTCCTTTGGTTTTGGATTGTGAATATTGGTATGAGGATGGTGATGAAGACAATAAGGAAAATATGCATTTGGTACCTAATGATGATACAGCTGGATAATGTGCTTGTTCATTCTACATATCCCCCCACCCCTATTCCGTCAGGTAGGCTGGTTGGCTCTGAGCCTCATCACTTCAGGGGCAATGTGGAAGGCGGAAACAGACTGTCAGACTTATGGGCTTCTTTGTCTTCGAAAAGCCTAAGATAACCGAGAACAAGATTTGTGAAAAGATGCAGAATAATGTAGAAAACAAAGAGAGGAATAGTGATTCTTCTCAGACTAGAAGGATATTTCCCTGGGCTTGTAGAAAAACGGGAAGTATGTGGGTTCTAGAACAGCTGGAATCCTGGCCTGGTTTCCTGGTAACACCACTGGGAACAGGAAAGACCCAGAGAGATCAGTGAATATTATCATTTCCAGTTTTTAGATTATAAAAGAAAAGGTTTGGTGAAATGAATTAAAGGGACGAAAAAGACATTAAGTGGTAGAACTGGGACTTGCACCCAGTCAGTCAAGGATATCTACCAACAGAGACACGTATCCTAGACACTAAGAAACGAAAATGAGTGTGTGTGTGTGTGTGAGGGGGGAGGGGGGGCATTAGAGAACACTACAACTTTGATTCAGTTGTGAAAAAGCAACTACTTAGCATTTATGTCTAATTATTCTGCAAAATAATGCCTGTGACTTGAGAATAAGCCCAACTTTCCTATAAGCTTTTGGTCTAGGAATGACCTTATACCAGCCTAAATATCCTTAAAGTTTTCCTTCTCACTTGGGCCCAGACCTGGACCATAAAATTTCCTGTTTAGAGATTAGAGACAACCTATCATTTTCTTCAATTTTGGTCCTTTTCACAATTTCGTGTCACAAATTCACCTCTCACACCTAGAAGACATTTCTGGGATGGCCCCCGAGTCACTCACCGTCCAGCTTTTTCAGTTTGGGCACTCTCTTGGTTGCCTCTTCAATCCAGTTCCCCTCAGCAGAGTGTTTTTCTTCCAAGGGATTGCCTACAAACACCAGGTCTTCCAGGCTTGGCAGTTCTGCCAGCTTCACAAATTCAGCTACAGGTATAAAGAATACATTTCACATTAAGACAGCAAGTTTTCGCCCTGACCGGTGTGGCTCAGTTGGTTGGGCATTGTCCTGCAGAGCGAAAGGTGGCAGGTTTGATTCCTGGTCAGGGCGCATGCCTGGGTTGCGGGTTCCATCCCCGGTCAGGACATACGTGAGTGGCAACTGATCAGTGTTTCTCTCCCTTTCCCCTCTTTCTAAAAATAAATAAATAAAATCATTTTTTAAATGGCAGATTTTACTGTGACAATTTTGGGGACTGAATTCCAATATTACTGTTTGCGACCATTCAGAACAATTTAAGTTTTTGAAGGAAGTAAGGGAAGTTAGACCACATGGAGTGATTCTCTGAAAATGTGACAGAAAGGAAGGGAAAAAGAAGACATTCCTCTTCCACCTTCATCTACCTTTATCCTTAGATAGGATGAGAGGAGGAAATGAAATTTACAACAAACCCTTCCCCATTGACAGGTCTTCCCTGCGCTCTGTACGGTATCAGCACCGGCTAAGCTAAACTGTCTCCACCCATTCCCTCCCTCATCTTTGAATTCTTGAAGTAACTCATTGGAGCCTCTACTGCAGAATTTATCACACATTTTTACAATTATTAGCTTAAAAACTAACCTTCCCCACTAAGCTGTGAATTCCTTGAGGGCAGGCATAGTGTCCTACTCAATTATGTATCTCAAGGGTCTGGTATATAGTTATAGGCACATAATAAGGCTTTACTAAATGCTGAGTGAATGATGTACAGTAAAGAAGCAAAGCAATATAAATGTCAAATAAGTCTTCCACACAAGAATTATTAAATTTAAATGGACTTTTCCCAGCCTTTGGACAATTAATTTAATCTTTTCATAATTAATAGGACCAGGATCTATTCAACTAAAATCATTCTACATAAATATTTAAATGTAAATTTCAAGCATTTAGCTGAAATCTAGGAACTCCTATAGGTATGAGTACTTCCCTCTGTGCTTAGAAATAAATGTCTTTATTTTGCAGCTTGTGCCCTGCTGGGCTATTTTCTACATATAGCAGGGAGAACTTAGCAAAGAGCCATTGTCAGCTTACCCCAGTCTTTCACCAGGTTATTGGACATGTAGAGAATCTTCAATTTCTTCATTACATGGATGCCTTTCAACTTCTCAATGAAATTATAGGAGATCCACAGTTCTTCTAATGTGTCCCCTACTGCTTCCTGAAAAAGAAAGCAACTTGATATACATGCTTACTTTTAAGCTCTTTTCCTTCCTTATAAACATAAAGACAATGGTCTTCAGAGAGAACTGAGACCCACCTGTCCCCTGCCAAGAGAGCTGAAGGTGTGTGGGAGTTTTTTGATATATTAAAAAAGCCAAGTAGCCCTGGCTTGTGTAGCTCAGTGGATTGAGCACGGGCCTGTGAACCAGAGGACCGCGGTTCGATTCCCAGTCAGGGCACATGCCTGGGTTGCAGGGGATGCACTAGAGGCAACCATACATTGATGTTTCTCTCCCTCTCTCCTTCCCCTCTAAAGATAAATAAATAAAAATTAAAAAAAAAAAAGAAAGCCAAGTAGAACATTCCCTTCTTTTCTTCAAACTGATCTGAACTAAGAATAGGTATTGAAATCACCAAAAGGGGAAACAGTAGCACTATTTTATCACTTCTATTGAATAGTATAATTTTCAAATTCCTTCCCTGTATATTTCATTATTTTATCCTTGTAACAATTAAGATAGGCAAAGCAGGTTATTTGATTTCTACTATAAGAATTTATGAACTTTTTCTAAGATCACAATGCTACTAAATACTAGAGCTGGGTCTAAATATTTATTAGGGAAACTTTCAAACGGAAAAAGTTGAAAGAGTTTTAAAGTAAATTCCCATATATCTACTACCCAGATTCTACCATTAACATTTTACTATCCCTTTCCTGTCAAATACTTGTCTGTCTTCTATCCAGCTAGCTATCCATTAAGTCACCTTATTTTTTAATGTATAAAATTCAGTTTAACCCCTGGCTGGTGTGGTTCAGTGGATTGAGTGCCAGCCTGCAAACCAAAGGGTCACTGGTTCAATTCCCAGTCAGGGCACATGATTTACCAAAAAATTTACTGATTTACCAAAAAATTGTTTAACTAGTTACAAATTATAGTAATTTTTATTTTTAAGTATGTTATTGATTATGCTATTACAGTTGTTCCATTTTTTTCTCCTTTATCCCCCCCGCCCCCCTGCACCTTTCTACCCGCCAGCATTCCCCACTCCCCTTAGTTCATGTCCATGGGTTGTACACATAAATTCTTTGGTTTCTCTATTTCCTACACTATTCTTAATCTCCCCCTGCCTATTTCATGCCTACAGTTATGCTCCTTATTCCCTGTACTCCCCCAACATTCTCTCCCTTTCCCTCTCCACAGATACCCCTCCATGTGATCTCCATTTCTGTGATTCTGTTCCTGTTCTCGTTGTTTGCTTAGTTTTTGTTGTTGTATTTTAGGTTCAGTTGTTGATAGTTGTGAGTTTGTTGTCATTTACTGTTTATGGTTTTTGATCTTCTATTTCTTAGATAAGTCCCTTTAATACTTCATATAATAAGGACTTGGTAATGAAGAAATCTTTTAACTTGACCTTATCTGAAAAGCACTTTATCTGCCTTTCCATTCTAAGTGATAGCTTTGCTGGATAGAGCAATCTTGGATGTAGGTCCTTGCCTTTCATGACTTCAAATACTTCTTTCCAGCCCCTTCTTGTCTGTAAGGTTTCTTTCGAGAAATCAGCTGATAGTCTTATGGGAACTACTTTGTAGATAATGCTCTCCTTTCTTCTCGCTGCTTTTAAGATTCTCTTCTTATCTTTAATCTTGGGTAACCTAATTTGATGTGGCTTATTGTGTTCCTCCTTGGGTCCAACTTCTTTGGGACTTTCTGGGCTTCCTGGAAGTCTATTTCTTTTGCTAGATTGGGGAAATTTTCCTTCATTATTTGTTCAAATAAGTTTTCAATTTGTTGCTCTTCCTCTTCTCCTTCTGGCACCCCTATGATTCGAATGTTAGAATGTTTAAAGATGTCCTGGAGGTTCCTAAGCCTCTCCTCGTTTTTTTGAATTCTCATTTCGTCATTCTGTCTTGTTTGGATGTTTACTTCTTCCTTTTGTTCCAAATCATTGATTTGAGTTCCAGTTTCCTTCCCTTTACTGTTGGTTCCCTGTATATTTTCCTTTATTTCACTTTATTTTACTTTCCTTTATTTCCTTCATTTCTTCCTTCATTTTATGACCATACTCAATCAATTCTGTGAGCATCCTGATTACCAGTGTTTTGAACTCTGCACCAGATAGTTTGTATATCTCCTTGTCAATCAGCTCTTTTTCTGGAACTTTGATCTGTTCTTTCATTTGGGCCATGTTTCTTTGTCTTGGTGCACCTGTTATGTTGTAAGGGGCAGAACCTTAGGTATTCACCAGGGTGATACAACTCTCTTTGCTGTGTTATGGTGCTGTTTGTGGGGGAGGGGTCACAGAGGGAACAATGCTACTCGCTCCACTCTAGCCCCACTTTCCAATGAACTGTCCCTGTGAGACTCAGGAGTTTCTCCTGCCTTTGAAACCCCCATAATATTTTACAGCTAGAGGCTTTGTCTTTAGTTTCCCAGTCAGCCAACCCTGGCTCACCCACATGATCTGTTGCCTGGCCAGGGGTCTTCTCTGCTCCCACTGCCAGTTTCCACCCCTCCCAGCAGTCTGGATGAATTTTCTTAAATGCCTTGGTTGTTGGAGTTTCATGCAGTTTGACTTTCTGGCAGCTCTGGTTGTTTATTGTTTTTAAATTTGTTGTTATCCTTCTTTTATTTGTGTGAGGAAGTGAAGTATTTCTACCTATGCCTCCATCTTGACTGGAACTCCTTCACAAAGTATAATAATTTGTTTTAGATAGGATAGAAATTTTTAGATAGGATAACTTTGAAGATGTCAGTAATGCTTCATTAGCTCACTTAAGTGTTTATTTTGTTTCAGTTTAGTTTTCAGCCATTTACGTGCAGGTCTTTTGCCAGAACCAAATTTCACTGCACTTGGTGACTTTACTTCAGAATATGTTTTCGTGGAACAAGAATTTCTTATGCAAATTGACTTACAAATGTTGTATCGATTTTGAATGCCCAGAGTATAGTTCTTTCAATACATTTTAAATCTATCCCACTGTCTTTTGTACTTCCCTATAGATAATGATTTGCTAACCAGCTCAGGTAGATTACTATTTTTATGTGTTTTAATAAGTTGAGAAGTGATCAGTGCCTAAAATATGAAACTGACATTCTATACAGACGGACTGACAAATCCAACAGCTGGATGAAACAGCTGCCTTAACATTAACCCAAAGTAAAACCTTAGAGAAAATTTCAAAATGTGTGAAATCATTCTAAAGAACGAGATTTTCTATGTATTTGTAATTAGGTAATAAAGACAATTTTCTTAAAGACAATTTTGGTGAAGCAATCTGGTGAATGTCAATCAGTAAAACCTGGCTAAGTTTGTGTAAATCAGGTCAGTGAAACCTGCCATTCAATAAACTGGCCCTTTGGTGACCTGGATAGTGATGAACAGGCATTTAGCAAATTGGTTTGCTTTCTGCAAGTGAACAAATAATCTCTCCTTAGTTTCTTACTCTGTAAAATGAGGAGGCTGGTACAATGAGAGCCTGCCTCACACTCATTAGGATGGCTACTATCAACCAGACAGTGGAGATGCGGAGAAACCGGAGCCCTTGTGCACTGTTGGTGGAAATGTAAAATGGTGCAGGGACTATGGAACAAGAACTGCAGTGCCTTCAGAAATTGAAAATATATGTTACAGCAATCCCACTGCTGGGTCTATAACCTAAGGAATTGAAAAAAAGAGTTTCAAAGAGATATTTATAACCACATTCACAGCAGCATTATTTACAATAGCCAAAAAGTACAAACAACCCAAGAGTCATCAGTGGATGAAGGAATTAATGAAATACGGCACATCCACACAACAGAATATCATTCATCCTTAAAAAGGAAAGAGGTTCTGATACATGCTATCATGGATCAAACCTGTATGTTGATAGTAGGGAAAACTGTACAGCTGTTTTAAAAGAATGCATTAAATCTGCCTGTTTTGACATAAAAATATTACTGATACACAGGGGTGGGCACAAGTAGGTTTACAGTTGTGAGTATGTGAAACACAGAGTTTATTCTTGTATTATTATTTATTTATTTATTATTATTTATTATTATCAACCTACTTTTATCTACCCTTTATTGAGTTAAAAATATATCAACCCTGTACACTATAGTACAAACATATTTAACACACACATGCATATCCATATACACAGATATCTATTTGTATTTGCACAGAAAAAATTAAAATATATAAAACAATACTATTTCTGTTACTCATGGAATGAACAAGGTGGAAGGGGGAAAAAAGACTTCCACAGTGTATTTCTTATATTTATGAATTTGCTTGATTTGTTTTTTTACAGTTAACATATATAACTTTTAGAATTACAATTTTAACCTAGTAGTTATTTTTTTAATCCTCATCTGAGGATATGCCCACTGATTTTAGAAGGAGAGAGAGAGGAACATTAAATGTGAGGCAGAAGATCAATCCTCCCTTAGGCACCCCAATCGGGAATTGAACCAGCAACCCAGGCATGTGCCCTGACAGGAACCGAACAACTTCTGGTGGAAAGAACGACATTCCAAACAACTGAGCCCCCCAGCCAGGGCTAACCTAACAGTTTTTATAATTAGTAATAAAATATATTGAGTCACTCAATAAATATTTATAGAATGCCTATTACATGTGTCAAGCACTAATGTAGATGCTGATGAACAAAACTGACCTGCTCATTAGGATTTGTGTGTGTGACAGAGAGACAGAGGGTGGGCGAGCAAGAGGGAAAACAAACCAATAAAAATTCCAGACAGTGATAAGAAAGCCGAAATAGATATAGATAAATGTAGATGTAGATACATATATACCTATACATAAATATAGATATAGATGTAGATGTAGATGTAGATGTAGATATAGATATAGATATAGATATAGATATAGATATAGATATAGATATAGATATAGATGCAGAGTTGTCGCCTAGGGAGCTGCATTAGATACAGGGCAGTTGGGTCACTTTTGAGGAGGTGACATCTGAGCTGAAGTAAGGAGCCAGTAATGTGAAAGTTCAGAATAACAAAGAGGTTTTCAGGCAGGAGAAACAGCAAGTGCCAAGGTCCTCAGGTGGGAAGACTTGGCACGTGCCAGGAGAGAAAGAAGGTCAGTGGCTGGAGATTACCCGCCAGGACGAAGAGTAATATGAAATGAGATCCAAAAGAAAGGCAGAGGCCAGATCATCTATACAAATGGGTCTATAATGTACCTTAATAAGGTACATTATTAATGAGGTAGTTTTCCAGTAGTTTTAAACAGACACCTTTCATTCAATTTAACATTTCGTGTTTCACAGATTAGTCATGTGTGATTTACTGAGGCAGCTATTTAAATCATACTATAAGACTAGTGTGTCTAGACGAATAAATCAGTTAGTATGTGAACCTATTTGAAGCCCAGCATTTGCATTCCTAAGCTGATTTATTTTTCTTTAGTTTGTGCATAAGTAGTAAAGCCTTTGGGCTGGTAACATGTTGTTTTGGATGTATGTATGGTGTATGTATACACACACACACACACATCTGAAGAAGAACATCAAAGGCTGGGTGTTACTGATAGTATAGAAAGTGAAGAGATCTAAGCAAGCGATGGTGCAGCTAGATGATATCTCCAGAAGTGTCTTTAATCCTATTTCTTTGTGGTTTCTAAGTATATATTACATTCCATGGGAGAAACTGTATAGTATAGCAATACTTGAGAATCTGGTATTCTGAAAATACCAGAAGGAAGATTAAGCCTCTCTATCAAATTGATCCTAAAGATTCTGGGGTACATTTATTTAAAAATCCTTCCCTTATAAATAATTTAAAATCATAGTTAGTCTGAAGTGTAATACATTCTTACTTTTTGTACTATAATTTAAAATTTTATATATTATGAATAATGTCCCTATATTTGACATTTTTTACTATTTACGCCCAGAGAATGTAGAGAATGCAAAATATCTTTAAATATGCCAATCATTTAGAACACCAAAACCATTTTTTATGGATCATTAAATATTTACTCATCATATCTAACTAGAAAGCAAACAATTCATCTATTGATTATCATTTTGGAGGGGAAAACTTCCTTTATGTAAAAATGTAACCTTTAAGCATTTCCAAGCATTTTGCCCTGGCCATTGTGTCAGGCGGTTGGAACATCATCCCGTAACCAAAAGGTTGTGGGTTCAATTTCTGGTCAGGGCACATACCTAAGCGGTGGGTTCAATCCCCAGTCTGGGCACCTACGATCCCCATTCTGGGCGCTTATGGGAGGCAACCAACCGATACTTCTGTCTCGCATCAATGTTTCTGTCTCCCTTCCTCTTTCTTTAAAAAGCAGTGAAAAAACATCCTCAGTTGAGGATTAAAAATAATTATATATATAAAAAAAGAATTTCCGAGCATTTTATAAATTCATTAGTAAAATGTTATGTAAATAGACATGTAGAAGTGGGAATGTTATTCAGCTCATTCAAGGTAATTCCCAAATTGCTTCTCTGAACCCTGACCCCTGTTTAGACATTACAGTTCCTCCCTTAACAGGGGTGGTCACTTCAGCCGGTCTCACCTTGGGAGGTCCTTGCTGGGAAGCACTGCAGTTACAAGCCCACTGGCTCTTACGAAGCACAGCTGGACTTAATGGGAAGTGGAGAAGGAGTCCAGAGTCATAAAAAATTTCAGAATGTTTATGAAATACTTTCAATACTTTTACAAAAAGCATTCAATACTTTAAAAAAATTATTGTCTTTTTGGGAACAGATACAAGACAAAGAAATCAGCTTCATCTTTCCTGAAATTTCCTAATATTACAATATTGTTTCGTTTCAGCTTCTTTGCAAGAAAATTCAAATGGCCAGTAAATGTATAAATAAAAATATATAGTCCATCCCACTGTAAAAAACTATAAAAAGTTCTAAATTTCCAAGGTTGGTAAGGGGAAATGGGAACCCTCATACATTACAGGTGGGAGTATAAATTGTTACAAACTTATCAAATGCCAATTAGATGAAACATCATAAAAGCCTTTAATTCATACCTAATTCAGCAATTCCATTGCATGGAATTTATCCAAGGAATTATTCATAGATGTGTGCAATAATATAGCTAAAAGGAGATTCGTAACAGTATAGATAATAACTCCAAACTGAAAATAATGAATAAGTAACTGATTTATTTATTTATTGTAATTATTTATTAATTGATTTATTGATTTTAGAGGAGGGAAGGAGGAAGGGAGAGAGAGAGAAACATCAATTTGTTGCTCTACTTATTTATTCATTCATTGTTTGATTCTTGTATATGCTTTGACTGGGGATCGAACCTGCAAACTTGGTGTATAAGGACAATGCTCTAACGAACTGAGCTACCTGGCCAGGGCAATAAATAATTTAATAAATTATAGTACATCAATAAAATACATTATTATACTGTCATTAAAAAGGGGTATTGGTTGAAGATTATTTTAAAAACTTAAGTCAGATCCACTGATCAAAAACCTTTAATGGCTTTGCAAGCCAACTGGAAAAAAATCTAAAATCTCTTGATGTATAAAGCTCAGGGTGACCTCCTGGTTCCTGGCTTCATCGCCAACCTCACTGCGGACAGTTCTCCCTCTCTCGTTCAACTCTTGCTCTCAGCTTCAGCTTCAGGACACCTGCACTTGCTGTCTCACCTCCGCCTGAGTTACTTCTCCCTTGGTCAGCTCTATAGTTCGCATCCTCTCTTCCAGAGAGGACTTCCCATCACCCTGTGCTCTCTTACATGCCTCATTCTTCTCCACTGCATTCATTGGCACCTTACGTGTTATACAGTCATTTTCTAGTCTGTCTGCCTCCACTGTAGTGCAAGTTCCAAATGGCAAGCACTGTTTTATACTCATTCTGCTCTATCTCTAGTGCCTAGAACAACACTACCTGGCTCAAATTAGACATTAGGAAATATTATTGAATCAACTTGTTGAATGAATGAGTGACGTGGAAAAACGATCTTCACATAATAAGTAAAAAAGATGCAAAACAATAAGTATAGTATGATTTCATTCTCTACATATCCATTGAAGAATAAGAAAAAAGGCAAGGAAGATGTCAATCAAAACGTTAGCGGTATTTAAATTGTCAGTGGCTTATAGGTATTTTTAATCATTGCTCTTCTACTTCGTAAAGTTTCTGCAATTGACAAGTATTATTTTTGTACTGAGAAAAAACTATATGCTTTTTTTAAAGTAATAAATAGCAACCTACCAGTCCATTTAAGTTCTTTATGTTGTTTCTTCCTAAAGACAATATCCTCAAGTTTTCTGTAGTGGAAAAAAAGCAATTTTTTGTTTATGAGAATCATATTACATAATTATAAATGTAAAATAATACGGTTTTAAATAAGTTTTATATAAATATTCTTATATAATGAGTAAGAATGTATTAATAAAAAGTGGTCATTGAGTAGGCAATAACACTGACCTATATCATCTAAGGTGAACACTACAACTGTAATTTCATATCACGCTAATATTAAATTTAAAAAAATATTAGCTATTTGGGATGCATGGTCTTAAGTTGCTAGCTAGTAAAAATATTAGAGGGATAAATAAGAGTAAAGAAGATATGAACTTTAGATTTGAGAGCATATATATATATATATTTCAAATTTCTTAGAGTACGAGGACTCAGACTAGAAAACAAGTATATTTTGTACAGTATACCCCACTCCACGAAGGAGTAGAAGTGAAATCAAATACATTAATATTTTAAAAATCTTTTGCCTTCAATCTTTTAAAAAATTAGATTGTGATTTGGTTTAAAAGATGCCTATTAGTATTTTTTACGAGGATGTTTCTATTGGTGTAGGGATAGGCTGTTTCTGGAAGAGAAAAAAAAAGGGGAAACAGCGCTGCTTTGGGGAGGAACTGAGAGTGCACGGTGAGGGGAAGACGTTTTTCCTTGTAAACTCAACTATTTGCATAAAACCATGAGCATGTATTGCTTTTAAAAATTAAAAAAAGATTTCTAGTAAAACACAGGAAAGCTCATTTCTGTTCTAAAAAAGTATCATGATTAATTATATATATAAGTTATACATTTAGGTTTCACAACGTGAACTTCTGCAACTTCACTAATATGGTAGCTACTAGCCACATGGCTAGTTAACTTAATTAACATAAACAATTACAGTTCAGTCTCTCAGTCACAGTAGCCTCACATCAAGAGTTTTAATAGCTGTATATGGGGAGTAGCAACTGTTTTGGGACAGTGCAGACAGTTCTATTGGGTGGCACTGTTCTGTGACAGCCATAAATTACCAATTAACTGAGTTCTAATCCCAAATTTTAAGAGAAACAATCGAACCTCTTTGAGTCTCAGTTTCATCATATGTAAGATGAGGAAATATATCTCTTTTTTAAAGATTTTATTTATTTATTTGTAGAGAGGGGAAGGGAGGGAGAAAGAGAGAGAGAAACATCAGTGTGTGGTTGCCTCTCACGTGGCCCCCAGTGGGGACCTGGGCTGCAACCCAGGCATGTACCCTGACTGGGAATTGAACCTGTGACCCTTTGGTTTGCAGCCTGTGCTCAATCCACTGAGCTATGCCAGCCAAGGTGATAATATCTGCTTTATAAGCATATAAGAACTGGGACAATCGTCTAAAACATTCAGCCTAATGCCTTATCCATGGCAAGTACACAATAAGTGGTGTTTGTGTGTGTATCAGGCATATATAGTTACATAAATGTTGGTTTTAATTTATTTAATAGATTATTTTAAATTCTCTTATGAGAAACATTTAACTTTTAAAACATATTTTATTTATTTATTTTTAGAGAGAGAGGAAGGCAGGGAGAAAGACAGGGAGAGAAATATCAATGTGAGAGAGAAACGCTGACCAGTTGCTTCTTGTGTGCGCCCTGACCGGGGACCAAATCCACTACCCAGGTATGTGTCCTGACTGGGAACTGGACCACAGAGCTCAGGGCATATTTAACTTCAGAACAAGGAATTGTAAAAGTGATCTAATTTACGCAAAATGATTTAACTCTTGAAACAGGACTCCACATTATAGGCAGGATTGGGTCCCCCCAAATATGTTGAAATTCTAACCCCCAGTCCCTCAAAATTGTGACTCTATTTGGAAACAGGGCCTTTAAAGAGGTAATTAAAGTAAAATGAGATCATTTTAGGTAAAATCTAGCGTGACTGGTATCCTTGTAAAAGGAGATAGGACACAGACAGAAACACAGGAAAGACCATGTGAAGACAAAGGGAAAGATGGCTATCCGCAAGCCCAGGAGAGAGGCCCCGGGAGAAATCAATCCTGCCGACACTTTGATGTCAGACTGCTAGCCTCCACAGCGGAGAAAACAAATTCCTGTTTTGGGATTTGTTATGACAGCCCTAGCAAACTAATAAATCTACATAACTATAAATGTGGGAAGATTAAATATTTAAGAAAATCACATAATTTTTAAGTGTCTTTATATAGAAAAATTACCATTTTTTCCTACTTCATGCAAGATAAAATACTTATTCAAAAAGTTATTCATTCAACCCGTAATTATTGAGTATCAACTATATGCCAGGAATAGCACTACGCACTTGCAACGTAACAGTGTACAATACAGATAACAATCCTACTGTCACAGAACTAACATTTGACAGCTAGTAAACAAAATAAATAAATATATTAGATAGTGATGAGTGTGAAAGAGAAGAAAAGCAGATAAAAGGAATGAAATGTCAAAGGATTGGGAACAGCTGACATTTTTGGTAAATGGCGACTTCTAAGTAAAGACCCAAAGGAAGTAAGGCATTGAGCCATGAGGACTGATGGACGGAGGCCATTAACAGGCAAGTAGAACTTCAAGCGTAAAGGCCATGAGACAGGACCACATCTGAAGTGTTCACAAAACACAAGAAGCTAGCTGAGAGAATGAGAGGGGAATAATAGGAGATGAAATTAGAAATAGGCCTTGTATAAAGGATGTATGAGGAGGAGTCAAGAAATTACCAGTTTGGCCTAAGCAACTGAAGAATGGACTAGTCACTGAGACAGACACATAAGAAGCTGGTTTAGCTGGGACTGTGGAAGGACTTTTAGGACTTTTGAACACGTGAAGTATGAGATGTCTACTAAACATCTAAGGGAGTTATCAGGCAACTGGATATGTAAATCTGGAGGTCAGAGGAGACCGTTGGGCTAGAGATATAAATTTGGAAGCCATCAGCCTATAGATGGTAAAGCCATGATTTGGAAGAGCTAATGAGACTAGGGAGTAGGTGAAGATAAAAAAGAGACCCAAAACTGAATCCTGGGGTACCCCAAAGTTAGGGACACAAGACTGGGAAGAAGTAGCCAGAAAAGCAGGAAGAAATCTGGAAGGTATAGTGTCCAAGAAGCTATATGCTGAAATTGTTTCAAAGAAGAAAGATATCATCTGTCAGAATCCACTAATAGGTCAACCAAGATGAGGACTAATAAATGACCTCAGAAATTGGAGATAACAAATATATGCCACCTTCAAAGACAGTATCTAACTTAACATGTAAAAACTCCTTTTTTTAAAAAGTGCTCATGAACTGGTACCAAAAGACTAAAAAGATCTTATTTATTGCTGTATAGGGAAATAAATTACGATATCAAAGTTAATAGATTAAATGTTCTAACATAATACAATTACATATTACATAATTTATATGCTGTATAAGTAGAGCACCACTACAAGAAAAACACTTTTTCTTTTAAGAAATTTATTTAATTTTTGTTTATTTTTTAAAGATTTTCTTGATTTATTTTTAGAGGGGAAGGGAGGAAGAGAAACATCAACGTGTGGTTGCCTCTCACGTGCCCCCTACTGGGGACCTGGCCTGAAACCCTGGCATGTACCTTGACTGGGAATTGAACCAGTGACCTTTTCCCAAGCTGGCACTCAATCCACTCAGCCACACTAGCCAGGGTTTTAACTTCTTTTAATTTTAATTTTTTAAATTAATTAATTTTTTTAGAGAGAGGAGGGAGAAAGAGAAACATCAGTTTGTTGAATGTATTTATGCTTTCATTGGTTGATTCTGGTACATGCCCTGACTGGAGATGTCAATTCTCGCATGTGACCGACTCATGATCTAACCTGCAACTTTGGCATATCAGGATGACTCTCTAACCAATTGAACTACCTGGCCACAGCAGAAAATACTTTTTTTCTAACAAGTCCCTGCTGAAAATGAAAAAAGTGTCTTCAAGTTACACGCTTATTTATTTAGTAAATGAAAGGAGTAAAGTATTTTACCAAAGATACAAGCAACAAAATTTATGTTCTGATCTTTAACATCAGATTATTAATATTCACAGTGTATAGCTTTTTAGTCACAGTTTTGAACATAGTGACGTTATGCAGTTTTCCAGTTGTAGTTTTGGTGCATTAAATAGAAATTGCCATAGGGACCTTCTGCCTTATAAAGCTCCTGTTAAACAGTAATGCCTTTGTATTTCAGGTCTTTTTACCGTGGCATAGCAGGTAAGACTACAGTGCTCATGATGGGAAAGGGGTGGGAAGCAAGCCAGGGTCATATATTCAGTCCTTCATATGGATCAGTTGGCTTCTTTCTGCTGCCTACTCACAGGTTGCAGAAGTATTATTTGTTACAAGCAGAATTAAAATGAGATGAAATAGTAAATAGATGGTACAAATGCCTATATTCTCTTATTCCATGCCTATGTCAGACATCACTAATTGATCAAAGTATTCTCTTCCACTTAATTTTGGGAACTCTTTTTAACACAACTTTCCCGAGAGTCATCATCAATTGAACAAAGTTAGAATACAAGTTAAAACTCAATGTCAGCCCTACATAGGTTATCCATTTTCACTATTGTCATGGTCATATTTTTATGAAAAACATGTCATCTATATTGATAAATGTTATCAATTTTGTCTCTTTTAGGAAAGTTATTATAGTTACAGACAAAGAAAAGAATGAAATGAAACATCTCACATTTTCTAATGAGTCACTGAAAAATTGGAATAGATTGAGTCATCTCATGCAGAGCTTTAAAGGAAAACATTTCCTCTCTGGCACGATTTAAAGTACTGGGGAAGATGGAGATTTGGAATAGAAGATAAATAGATTAATAAAATGTAGTGCTGGCCCCCAAGGAGTTCATTATCTGAAGAGACAGAACATAGTCCTCACCTACTTTAAACATGAGCATTTATTTGTACCAAGCACTATTCTAAGTCTTTTATATACATTAACTCATTTATTATAATCCAAGATAGGTCTTAATGTTTACAAAGAAGGACTAATTATTATAATAATGGAGATTAGAGAAGTCTTTAGAGGGAGAAATGACCTTTAAACTTGGCGTTCTTAATCTTAATTTTGTTTTTTGTAGGATATTCCTGTTAGAGGAAGGGGCTGTTCTCAATGAAAAGCACTGCACTAACAAGTGCAGAGTCATAAAAAGGGAAGATGTGTTTGCGTGTGAACAGCGGGGTGCAAGCCTGTACATGACTCTGAATTCGACATAAAGCAGGTGCTCTTTACCAGGCCAAGGGGAGCCAGGAAGGTCTCTGATCTGGAGAAATGAGAATGAGAATAATATTTTTAGAAAGAAGACTCTGGTGTCAGTGCTGAAGGTCAACTGAAGAACAAAGAGAAACAGATACCAACTAGGAGGCTATTACAAAAGTCTTAAGAGTGTTTTTCAAATTGTGTGTGAAATCAACTTAGTGGGTTGTGACAGACATTTAAATGAAATCAAATTTAAAAAATTTATACTGGAACCTATGTTATAAAGGTAAATGTTGTTTCGGCAACTTGATTCCAATTCATATGTCTTGTGTATATTTGATCTGTGTATTCATACGAAAACACACATGAACTGAGTCATAAATTCAAATGTATTTCTTACTGTGAAAAGTAGTAAAAAACATTTGATAGCCCTAACTGGCATGGTTCAATGGGCTGGGTGTTATCCTGTGAACCAAAAGGTCACTGGTTCAATTCCCAGTCAGGGCATATGCCTGAGTTGCGGTGACCCCCAGTTGGGGGCAACAAGACACAACCAATCTGTTTCTCTCGCACATCAATGTTTCTCTCCCTCTCTTCCCCTCTCTCTAAAAATAAATGAAAAAATTTTTTTTAATTTGGGGAAAAGGCCTGGCTGGTGTGGCTCAGTGGATTGAATGCCAGCCTGTGAACCAAAGGGTCACTGGTTCAATTCCCAGTCAGGACACATGCCTGGGTTGCAGGCCAGGTCCTCAGTTGGGGGCACATGAGAGGCAACCACACATTGATGTTTCTCTCCCTCTTTTTCTCCCTCCCTTCCCCTCTGTCTAAAAATAAATAAATAAAACCTTTTAAAATTTTGGGGAAAAAATACAATAAAAAAATTTTTTTAAGTAAAACACAATGTTTGTTAAACACCATTTAAGGGGGACGGTTAGAGTCTAAATTAAAACTCTAGCTCCTGGGATTTATAAAAAAGCAACATATTGCTCTCAATGGTGTGGCTCAGTTGGTTGGAACATTGTCTCTTATACCAAATTGCTGATGGTTCCATTCCCGTTCAGGGCACATATCTGGATCAATTCGATCCCCTGTGGCAGGCAACCAATCAGTGTTTCTCTCTCACATCGATGTTTCTCCTTCTCTTTCTACCCCCCTTTCTAAAATCAAAAAACATATATTTTTAAAAAGCAACATATTATTTGAGAGTTCTTTCAAAGAGTAGAGTTAACAAGACTCGATGATGAACTTGGATGTAGAGCTTGAGGGAAGTAAAGGGGGAATATGGTAGGAGAAATTATGGCTCACCAAAAGACACCATATCCTAACTCCTGGAACCTGTGAATGTTGCCTTCTGTGACAAATAAGTACTTCGCAGATGTGAATAAGTTAGGGATCTTAATATAGGGAGAGTATCCTCGGTTGTCCAGGTGTTCCATAAATGCAGTCACATGTATCCTCAGAAGAGAAAGAGTTGACATAGACAAAGGAGAAGGCGATGTGACCACAGAGGCAGAGACTCAAGTGATGTAGTCACAAGCCAAGGAATGTGGCAGCCATCAGAATCCAGAAAAGGCAAGGAACAGATTCTCCACTAAAGCCTCCAGAGGGAGGGTGGCTCTGTCGAAACCCTGATTTTGGCCAGTGAAACTGATGTCAGACTTCTGACTTCCAGAGCTAAGAGGGAATATATTTCTGTTGTTTTAAGCTGTCAAGTTTCAGCAACCACAGGAAACTAGCACAGGAGTCAGAGGTCTTAGCACCTGGGTAGGTGGCAACGTCACTAGCATTTGTTCATGCACAGGAAAAACAAGGATGGTGAGAAATTAAAATTTAAATATGACAAGTATGAAAACACAAGACAAATCTGATCAAATATATTTTAAAAATCAGGTTTTTTACTTAAGATATCTCAATTCTAACAATTTATTTAAGATATCTCAATTCTAACGCTAGGCAAGCTTTAAAATATCTTTAAAATGTTCAGATCTCTCTTTGTCATTTGACAATTACTGCAGTTAAAACAGATGCGAGCTCCTGGGGTTACGGAGTGTGTCTGGAATGTTTATTCCATTAACGAGAAAATCCAAGAACCATCTGTTATTGTGGATCACTTACTTAAGCCATTCAGATTGGCAATCTTTTCAATGCAGTTCGTAGACAGTGAAAGCTTCCTTAAAAAGAACAAAGAAAAACTTGAATTAATTTTTTAAAAATTTAAATGGTCTATCCGAAATTATTTCTCTAGTGCCCATTGAAGATACAATATTTAAGTCACACTTCCTTCTAACACTGAATCCTTTCTTTCCCTTCAGACATGCTGTCTGAAGACATTCCATGCTGTGTTTGAAATCTTCATAGTTTTTTCTGATCACAAAAGTTAACACATACCATTAACAAGTAGAAATTAAAAAAAAAAACTTTTTGAGGGCAATCTGATGTTATTAAATTTTTCAGAAAGATTTTATTTATTTATTTTACACAGAGGGGAAGGGAGGGAGAAAGATAGAGAAACATCAATGTGTGGTTGCCACTTGCACACCCCATACTGGGGACCCGGCCCACAATGCAGGCACGTGCCCTGACTGGGAATTGAAGCGGCGACCCTTTAGTTCACAGGCTGGCGCTCAATCTGCTGAGCCATACCAGCCAGGGTTCTATTAAATATTTTAATGCATGTATTCTTTGACCTGGTAATTAATTTCTAGGAATACATCCTATTGAAATACTAATGCAAATACCAAAAGTTATATGAATTAGATTACTGATTGTATTATTGCAATAGCAAACAGTGGGGGGAAATCTCTCTCAGCATCCATCACTGAGGAATACTGTGCTGCCACTAAAATGAGATTGGGCTACAGATGCCAATTTGAGAAGATGTTTATGATATGTAGTTAAGTTTTAAAACCACCTTGCAGAACAGCACATTTTATATGATCCCTTTTTGTGAACAGCAGAACTATACATATGAAAGTATGGAAATATTTATTTTCTCATGTGTTAAATTATTCAGAAATGTATATTATAAGAAATTAAATGTAATCCTAATCACCACCGAGACATTCCTCCAGAGATAACTATTTTAATAGTTCATATATATTTATCTAAATTTTTCTATACATACTTTAATTATATAAAAACATTTTTAAAGGGAACATAATTATACAGTTTTAGTCTTCCTTAAAACCCAAGAAATTCGCCCTGGCTGGCATGGCTCAGTGCTTCAGTGCTGGCATGCGAATCAAGAGGTTGTGGGTTCGATTCCCAGTCAGGGCACATGCCTGGGTTGTGAGCCAGGTCCCCAGTTGGGGGCACGCAAGAGGCAACCACACACTGATGTTTCTCTCTCTCTCTTTCTCCTTCCTTTCCCCTCTCTAAAAAATAAATAAATAAAATCTAAAAAAAAAAAGTCAAAAATTTGTGTTGACTTTCCAACACTTGATCATATCCTTTCTGATTTGACCTGAAGAGGAATTATTTATCTTTTTACTTGAAATGGTAAAGTCAAGTACTGTACAATGTAAATTACTGATCAAATCTGTACATCTTCTAATCATTCCCACTCCTGAGAACTGCTAGTGAAAAACTGAGTACCTCAAATCTGGGAATATGATGGGGGAACAATTCTTTAATTGTTTAGGCAACTGGAAGGATGAATAAAGATGAGAACTTACTCGCAATTAGCCAGCATGGACAAGGATGCATCCATCTTCTCTATAGGGGGAATCTGGGCGTAAAGCTTTATCTCCTTGGCTTCAGACGGCTTCTGACTGGTTTTCTCTTCCTGTCATAAAAATTAATTTGGAAGAAGATGAGGGTAATGTGGAGTTGAAGGAGGCTGGAACTTCATAAGGCTTTTTAATCCTTATTTCAAAACAATGATTAGAATTCAGGAGTTCTGTGCATTCTGTACAGTTCACTTATTGACCTTTACTATTGACTCCGATGAGCAGGCTTCTACATGACCAACCAAGACAATTCACTGCCAGGGCCCAACCAAATGGGGAAAAAATGAAAGAAAATGATTTATGTAACATTTAAAATCCCTTAAGCACCTATCAATTAATTAACATAAGCAAACACAGACATTTTCCTGGGAAGAACTCCTTGTCCTGAAACAACCTTTCTTTAGATATCAGATTCAGACCCATAAGACCAATTGTTTCTGTCATCTCAGCTATTTCTACACGTAATTCAGTCTGGGCTACAGCCCCAAAATACCAAGAATTTTGGGAGATATTCTGTTTGTAACACAGCTGTGGTCAAAATATTTTCTCTACCGTAATTTACTACTGAATTCAACCTTAGAAATGAATTTTGGTACTAAGTATGCAATTTAAAATTTCATTAACAGTATATGCTGCCAAATATTTTCTAAGTATATCCCAACCAGAATATTAATCTTGATACGATCCACTAATTTACATCAGATTTCCCAGTTTCGTCTGTACTCATTTGTACATATGAGTGCGAATGTGTTTGTACAGGTGTATCAAGTTCTATGCATCTTTATCACCTGTGTAGGTTCGCATATCCACCTCCACAGTCAAGACAGCTAAATAGTTCCAATACCACAAAGATCCCTTTTACTGAATGGTCGGATTTGACAGCTATCTGAAAGTTCTCCTTATATGGTTTCTAAAAGAAGTCAAAAGTCATACTCACCCATCTGGCTAGGGCTTCTTTGATTGTTGTTGCTTTTGCCTTAAAAAGAGAAGGACCAAAAGGTTGTCTTTATTGGTATAATCTGTTGATTCAATTCTCTCAGAGAACAGAGGCATCAGCCCATGCAGATAACTCCCACTTGGTTCACAAAAAATATGCAGCTTTCAACACTTAAAATATCTTATTCCATTGATTCTAAGATCTACATCTTCTTTTACATTTTAACATCTTTGAAATTTGGATGCATCTTCCAATCAGGAATAATTTACAACTGCAGTGGCCAGGTGCAGTGGTGAAGTTTTAAAAGAACATGAACAATTTTGTCTCATATGCATGGACTCCTTTTTATGTTTGCAAAGAATGACATATGATAAGGCTATATGCCTAAATATGTTTAAAAGAACTCTGTCAATAAGTGCAAAATAAAAATTCTAACTGATAAGAAATTATTTGTCATAGTTTAATTCCAACTTATCTTTAATTCAATTTATCATATTTATAAGTTTTTTAAAGTTTTTATTCTTATTTATTTTTTAGAGAGAGGGAAGGGAGGCAGAAAGAGAGGGAGAGAAACATCAGTTGCCTCTCACATGGCCCCAGCTGGGGACCTGGCCCATAAGCCAGGCATGTGCCCGACTGGGAATCCAACCGGTGACCTTGTGGTTCACTGGCCAGTGCTTGATCCACTGAGCCACACCAGCCAGGGCTATTTGTAACTTTAAAGATGAGCAAAGGAAGATATCCTTTGAACCATTGCTTGAGTTCATTAATAAAAAGAGAGAATACTCTAAATAAAAACAAAAATAAATAAAAGGAAAGTTTTAAATGTATATAGCATTATGCCTAGAAAGTAAAGACATACTAAAAAAAATCACCCTTGGGTTGATTTTACCCTTTACCCTTAGGGTAAAAATATTATAAATTAAAGTGAAATAATAAAATAAAAGATAAAAAGTCAAAATTTGAGAAATAAACATAACCTTAAAAGGAAACATAGCTTCAAGTACATTTATTTAAAAAGAAGAGAGAGTGAGAGGTAGAAAACAAATAAGCTAAGCATTCAAGATATTTGAAAAAAGTGCATCATTGCCAACCCAAAGAAGGCACAGAAAATAAATCCAAAGTAAGAAGTCAGTGGGAAACACAGTAGGGGGAAGGGATCAATGAATAAGGGGAAATAACACTGATACCATGGAGATCTGATAAGTAAAATATTACAAGCAAATATATGGTAATAAGTTTGAAAAGCTAGATAAAGTATGCCTTTCTAAAAAACAAACAGAAAAATGCCAGAACTGTCACAAGACGAATCAGAAAATTTAAATAGGCCAGTAACTATTTCAAGCATTAAAAAGATAGTCAGAGATTTACCCTCATCCTCCTCCCCCAAAGCTCCAGGACTAATTTTACGAGTTCTACCAAGCTGTCAAGGAAGAGATATTCCCTGTTACACAAGTTGTTTCAGAAACTAGAAAGCTGCCAACTTCTTTTATGAGGCTAGCATAACTTGATGCTATAACAAGATAACGAATCCTCTTTATTTCTCAACACAGATTTGAAAAGCCTAGATATATTAGATCCCCAAAGCCAAGGATATAGAATGAAAAGATCAAGAAATGCTTATTCCCAGGAGTATAAAGATTGTTTCACACCAGGAAAATTTATAAATGTACATATTTATTATTGGATTAAAGGAAGACAATGATATTTATTCATTATATGCAGAAGAAGAACTTGATAAAGTTCTACATTTGATATTAAAAGCATTCAACTAAGATAAAGGAAAACTCCTTGATAAAAGCTACAGACCAAAAAGCCACAATGAACACCATACTCAATGGAGAAATTCATTCATTTTGGCAAATCTTTACTATCTACCACATACCAAACATTCTTCTACATACTTATGGTATATCACTAAAGAAAACAAAGATCCTTGCCTTCATGGAACCATTGTCAGGAGACAAGTGGTAAGTAACATAACTTTAAAAATAAATAAATTGTATAGTAGAAGGTGACAGTTACTAAAAAAAAAGAAAATGCCAAGCATGGTAAAGGCTATAAGGACACGTGGATATGTGTGTGGAGGATGTTTATTTTAAATACGGTGGTCAAGATGGGCCAAATTGGGAAGGTAACCTTTTAAGGTCCCAGACACATCTAGGATATCTACTGTCACTGCTACTATTTAACACATTACAAGAGATCTTTATAAATGTTATAATAAAGAGAAATACAAACTGGAAAGGTTAAAAGGGGGAAATAAGCTTCATGTGCAGGCGATCATCTATTTAGAAAACACAATGGAATTAACTCAAATATTAGAACAAATGGACTTCAGCAAGTGAAGAACACTATTGATAAAGTAAACAGAAAAACTCGAAGAAGATGTTTTCAATGTAAAACCAACAATGGACTAATATCAAGATGTATAAGGAACTCCTAACATTCAGAAACAAATATGGAAAAGTTGGCAAAAATGTAAACAGAAAATTCACAGAAACTGAAATCCAGATGAGTAACAAGAATATCATGAGGTAATTAAATCAGAAAAATGGAAATCAGAAAAATGCAGAAAAAACAATGGTGTGCTAAAATACACCCTTCGATTGGCAAAAGTTAGAAAGTTGGTGACATGCCTTGGCTGGGTGGCTCAGTGGATTGAGCCCCAGCCTGTGAACCAAAAGATCTCTGGTTTGAATCCCAGTCGGGCACATGCCTGGGTTATGGGCCAGGTCCCCAGCTGGGGCCATGTGAGAGGCAACTAATCGATGTATCTCTCACACATTAATGTTTCTCTCCCTCTCCTTCTCCCTCCCTTCCCCTCTCTCTAAGAATAAATAAATAAAATAAATGAATCAATCAATCAATAAAGTTTTAAAAAAGAAAGCAAGCAGTCTGACAGTGTGTAGGGAAATTAAGTATGCACAGACCCTGTGACTCTGCAATCCCACTCCTGGGTGTATTTCCCAGAGAAATCCTTGCATGGGTCCATAGAAAGACACATATAAGAACACTCTCAAGTTGGAAACAATTGAGCTGCCGATAAATTGGTTTACAAGGTCACTAGTTCCGCTATAGAGAACAGGAATCAAAACCTGAAATGCCTTGAAAACCAATGGACATCATTGGATAAAGCTGGCCATGTTAAGAGCCTCTGTTTGGCTCTAGAAAACTGTTGACAGGTGGGACTTGGGACAAGAATTACCCTCATATCACATTTCTTCAAATATGAGAACCCCATTAACGAAAGTAACATTCTTATTTTATGTACTATTAAGAAAAAATGCAGCCAATTATATGACAGTAACAAATTTTCAGTAATATAAATATGTGGGGACAAATGTGTCTAGTGGTGAAATACAGTATTTCTGATTTTTCGAAGAAGCTAGAAATCTCTGTTTTGTTATGAAGTATGATCATTTTTAAGATTTTTAAAAATCTAAAAACTATGTGGGCCTGTATATCTGAAGGGCCCTCAGCTAGCTTCAGGTGATTATTGGTTCTGATTCTTCATCTGAAGATTTTCAATAATCCTCATGGTTCATGCTTTCAGGATTTAGAGCTCATTATTTCTTCACTTGAATATAAACCGAGGTTCCAGAATATTTTACTTTCTCTCCTCTCCACCCTCTTTTTCACTGTGTAGCCTGCTTCAGTGCCTGAAGCCTACAGGCAGAGGCTAGGCAATGGTTCAAAGCCACAATTTGCTCAGGCGTGGGGCACTATGTGAAACTTTTTACCTTCCTTGGCAGTAGTTTAGCTAAATGCATGTGAAATGAAGTAAGAAAAGATGGGAGATGGGGAGGAAGGACCTACTTTAAAAAGAGTGGTATTTAATCTGGTGGTTGAGGGTTGACATGATTTCGTTATGATTTCAATTTCTTGGGCTCTAACTTACATAGCATTGGAATCGCAAAAAGAAGACAACAAATTATACTTATTCTTCATAAATATCTCCATCCAGCAGGACAATCACATCCTTTGCTAAAAAGCTTTGGCTGGGTCTACAACCAACAACATCCCTTTTCAAACTACTAGTTGGAACTGCCACGTATGTAAACAAGACAGTGCACATTTTAAGCAGGAATTGAGAATCGCTAGATAAAATCATTACTTCGCAAAGGTTTTGATTGGGTAGACCGATGACAGATTTCAAATCCAAGGCAATATTTCTCAAACTGTAGTGGGGCGCCCTCCAATTTTAGAATGACTTGAGGTGCAATTGTCTAAATGCACATATCTGAACACCCCCAATCATATTAAACATTCATAATCTGCACTCCAACAAGTTCCTAGTACTTAGGCCGGCTACAAGCATACTTCAACACATACTGAAATTTGAGAAAGAGTAGCCTAATATCTTCTATCAGAGTGGGTTTTACAACGTTACCTAATAAGTACACTCACAGTCATTCAGGGCAACCTGGGCACATCAGAGGTTTCCAATAACTGCTGCAATGATGTGACCCACATTCCTCTCCTAACCAGCTCCCCACTCCATCTCGCCAGGGGGTAACTTAATTGTATGTAAAAAGAGATCCTTATTCACCCACTCCCGTCCATCACCTTTCCCACTCCAATGTTCTGTTTTTCGAGAATTCCCTGCTCTTTGCCCTTCCTTTTCTTTGCCGGACTCCCACCATGTTCACCCAACCTCTGATCTGTCCCAGGCCTCCTTTCTCCCAGACCACCCGGTGCCAGGGCTTTTTGATCGCCCCCAGGCCTTTGCCTTCGCGGAGCCAGTATCCGCTACCGGCTCCCTTCTGCGGTTCAAAGACACACTCTCCCCTCCTAGCCCTCAACACTCCACAATCGCCCTTTCCCACTTCCAACTTCTTTTCAGCTTTGGCTACGAGGCCTAGAAGGTACTCACCATCGCGGCGGTTGCTACTGTCACTGCTCTGGTTGCTAGGGCTCGGAGGGTTCAGTGCGCTTGCGCACTTCTCGTGGCTCTCCGAGGATCCCTACCGCCGCCGCAGTCGTCTCTCTCATCCTCCGCCCTCAGGTGGCACAAGCGGGGCATTGTGGGACGATGGGGCGGTCCCAGGTCCTCCGGCAGCGCTGCCTCTCGTTCCCGAGTGGCGGCGGCACAGTTGCGCGTGAGACGCTCGGCTGGAGTGCTCTGCTGCGGAAAGTGGTCAAGGGATGTAGCTGTCCCTACCGAGAGCAGTTTCAGCTCGTCTGGAGTGACGTACCCGCCTGAAGTTTAAAACTGTAAAACCTCCCCCTAACCGTTGCCCTTCCCATAACAGGATTTGTAAAATTCCCTTTCCCTGCAGATTGCCCTTCTGTATCCTCTCCTGGCTGTCTGCTATAATTCTCCTGGCGTCCCACAGAGGATACCTGAAGCTAAACTCCGGGCACAATAGACCCTTCGGGGAACAATTGCTGCACCAGAGCAGAGACTTCAAGTCCCTTTGTTAATTATTTACTGTTAATTATCCCACATCCACAAATGTAAAAAATGTATGTGTCGATTTTACTTTTTAACCAATCCCAGAGATGTCCCCTGCTTTGCTTTCTCCCTCCGTAATCTCTCACCAACGAATTTCATGTAACTTCTTAGGCCTTGCCCTTTGATTCTGCTGTATAAAATAAGCGGTAAACTGCCATCTTCTGGAGTATTTTCTCATTCCGTTGACATTTTGCTTTCCCAGCAATTGTCAGGCTGGCTCAAATAAACTCATAAAATGTTTTTACAGGTTTGGGTGTTTCTTGCATTGACAAAAGCTTTAAAATCCTTGCACCTCTGTGACTGGGCAGTTCCACTTCTAGGACTTCGTCCTGAAGAAATAATCACACAAATGCACACAGATATATGTTCAACGTTTTAATAGTAAAAACAAAATAATCCAAATGTCAACACAATAGAATTGGTATCGTTGAACATCCAAACAGTGAAGTAATACACTGTTTTTCACTGTGGAGCCTGCTTTAGAGCCTGCAGCCTACAGGCAGAGGCCAGACAATAGTTCAAGGCCGGTTTGCTCAGGCGTGGGACACTACACGAAACTTTTTTACCTTCCTTGGCAGTGGTTTAGCTAAATGCATGTGAAATAAAGAAAATAGCCCTGGCTGGTATGGCTCAGTGGATTAAGCGCCAGCCTGCAAACCAAAGGGTCACTGGTTTGATCCCCAGTCAGGGCACATGCCTGGGTTGCAGGCTGGGTCCCCAGTAGGGGGCACATGAAAGACAACCACACACTGGTGTTTCTCTCCCCTTCTTTTTCCCTCCCTTCCCCTCTGTCTAAAAATAAATAAATAAATAAATAAATAAATAAATAAAGTCTTTAAAAAAAGAAAGAAAGAAAATATGGGGCGGGGGAGACCTACTTTAAAAAAGAGTGGTATTTAATTTTGTGGTTGAGGGTGGGCATGACTTCATTATCATTTCAATTTCCATTATCTCTGCCATTAAAAATGTTGCTGAAATACATCTACTGACGTGCATAATCATATGTGTTAATTTAAAATGCAAGTTACCAAACAAAATCATGTGACCCCCTTAAAAATTATATATAGCATACACAGATATACATAAGAAAACTTAAAGGACATTATGAGTTTGTTTAATGTTTGTTTCGGACTGAAATATGTCCCCTAAAAATTCGTATGTTGAAGCCCTAACCCTCAATGTGATTGTTTGGAGACGGGGCCTTTAAGGAAGTAATCACTTTAAAGGGGGCCATAAGAGTGGGGCTCTATTCCAATAGGACTGGTGTCCTTACAAGAAGAGGAACAGACACCAGAAGTGATTTGCACAGAGGAAAGGCCATGTGAAGACACAGTGAGAAGCTGGTCACCTGCAAACCAAGGAGTGAGGCTTTACCAAAAATCTACACCACAACTGGCAAACGCAGGCCGCTGGGCGGAATCCCGCCCTCCGCCTTGCGTTATCCGTCCCGGGACCTTGTTTCTACCTGACCGCAGCGCGGAGCTCCCCCACCCCTACGCCCCTACGCCCCAGCCAGCGCACCAGTCACGTGTGCAGCGTGTGTGATGAGTTTACGCTGCAGGAGTGGGTGAACGGCGGGAGCTGCGGCCATAGCTACAGGAGAACGGTGAGCCTGTGTAAGAAGAGTAATAGGTGGGACTGATGCGGGACACTAGTAACAAACAGCCTTGGGGATTGAAAGACAAGAAAGACATGAATGACAAGAATTACCGGGGCGGGGGTGGAGGTAGCGGAGGGACATCGGGGCGCTTAAAGGGGTACTCTCAACTGGGCAAACATTTCATTTAATTTTTTAAATAAATTAGCCAGAGACATGAACTTTAGCAATTACATGTTATTTTTAAAAGTATCTGTAAAAAGATATTTTGTAACCAGCAGCCACGGTCCCACACATGAATTCTACATTGTTGTCCCTGGACATGGCCAGCTCTGCGGTCCAGCAGCCGTGGCCGCGATTGCGCAGTGACGTGCTTTCACTTTTGTGTGAAGTGGCCCGGACTGCGGAGTAAACCGAACTTGCACCGGCGTATTGATTGGCCCCAGGCCCGGCCTCCTCCGCCCTGCATCGTTCAAGATAACAGAACGGCTCTGGGTGTTGAGCAGTATTTAGCCATCGTCCTCTGTCCCGGCCACTTCATATAAAAGTGAAAGCATATCATCGCGCAAGCGCGGCCACTGCTTTGCGGGTGTTCACAAAGGAACCTTCTTATTCCACCATGCCAGGGGAACGGCATTAAGGATAATGTTGCTGCCCAAGACATTGGCGATAGAGGAACAAGGAGAATGTTGCTGGGATAGATGGAGGGGGAGAATTGATGGAGAAAGAGTGACTGCTGTTTATGCAGAAGGGGGTTTGAAGGAAAGGTGAGCCTGTGGGAGAGGGCCTGTTACTGAACTGGTCCTGAAGGACATCTTGGTCTTTTACTTAGGTGGTGCACCATACCATCTTTGGTGGAACAGTATGAATCCCAAAATGTCCAGTAAGAGAAAGATTGATGCAGAAGGAAGGCAATTTAATGATAGATGGGAAAGCGAATACATGTTTGTGTTTCAAGGGGAAAACCCAGTATGTCTTTTGTGTTATGAAACGATATCGGTGATAAAGGAGTACAATGTACGTCGGCATTTTGAGACCAAACATGGAACTAAATATGCTAAATTTAGCCTCCAAGAAAAACAACAATTGGTGCAAGAATTAAAAGGCAGACTGCAGTCGCAGCAGAATGTGCTCACCAGAACTATAGCCAAAAATGATGCAGCAGTGAAAGCTAGCTTTATTGTGGCTGAAGAAATTGCTCGAGCTTCGAAGTGTTTTTCAGAGGGTGCATTTTTCAAGCAGCGCATGCTAAAGGTGTGTGAGCAGGTGTGCCCCGATCAAATACAGACTTTTAAAAATGTCAGTTTGTCTAGAAACACCATCGCAAACCGTGTTAAGGAACTAGCAGGAAATCTGACAACACAGCTGGTCGAAGAGGCGCGCAGTTATCTGGCTTTTTCATTAGCTGTGGATGAGAGCACAGACAACACGGATACATCACATCTATCCATTTTTATAAGAGGTGTGAAGGCGGACTTCTCTGTCACCGAGGAGCTCTTGGATGTAATTACCATGCACGGGACAACAACAGGGAAGGACATTTTTGATGCGGTGGAAAAGTCCATAAGCAACCATAAGTTACCCTGGGAAAAGCTGGTGGGGCTAACTACCAATGGTGCACCTGCCATGTGTGGAGAAAAAACAGGCTTGGTTGGACTAATGAAGGAGAAATTGCAAAAAAGTAACTGTGACACACCTCTGATCATGTATCATTGCATTATCCATCCAGAAGCTCTGTGTGGAAAGGTTTTGGAACTGGATAATATTATGACCACAGTCATGAAAACAGTGAACTTTATTCGGGCGCGGAGCTTGAATCATGGCCAGTTCGAAGTGTTGCTGCAGGAAATGGACTCAGAGCGTGAAGACGTGCCATACCATACAGAAGTCAGGTGGCTGAGCAGGAGCGCAGTCCTGAAACGATTTTTTGAGCTTAGGGAAGAAATTGCACTTTTCATGCAAAGTAAAGGAAAACCCTTGCCTGAACTGTCAGATCCAAACTGGATGTGCGATTTCGCTATGTTATGTGACATAACCGAGCATCTTGCTCAACTGAATCAGAAGCTGCAGGGACGCAAACAAGTCATCACGCAGATGTCCGATGCAATCACAGCTTTCCAGCGTAAACTGCACCTATGGAAGTCCCAGGTGGACAAGGACAATCTTGCCCACTTTCCTGTTTGTCAGAGCATCTCAGCCTCAGTTCCCGGTGCTTTTTCATGCACTCCCTTGGCTACCAAATTGAGCCGGTTAATTGATGAATTTGATCAGCGCTTCTCAGACTTCAGAAGACAGCGCTCAAACTTTGCCATCTTTGCCAATCCTTTCACCATTGATGTCGACAGTGCACCCCATAACCTTCAGTTGGAGTTAATTGATATTCAAAGTGATAGTTGCCTGAGAGCAAAGTTTGAGGATGTTAAAATTGAGGACTTTTACTGTCTGCTGCCTCCCGCTTTGATGCCACAGCTCCGACTTCACGCTGCCCGTATTCTGTCACTGTTTGGGAGCACCTATCTGTGCGAACACACATTTTCAATAATGAATCTAAACAAGACTAAGCACAGGTCACGCATCACTGATGACAACCTCCACGCTGTTTTACGAATTGCTACAGCACAAGGCCTGAAACCAGACATAGACACACTGACCTCGAGAAAACGGTGTCAGACATCCAGAAAACAAAATAGGTAAGCCTAAAACCTGATTTTGAGTACATTGGAATTGCTTGTCTTTTGCTTTGTGTTTGTTGTTATTTTCAGAACATGATCAGTGGATGAGGATGGTATGTGACATGCCGGTGTCTCAGGTTATTTAACAGTATGTTCAGCCTGGTTGCCCTCAAAGGGCTGATTGTAACGGTAACACTGTATAAATTAAGGAGTAGTTACATGTACACAGTCCTAAAATTACATTCGGCCCTTTGAAGGCAACCTTGAGGCTGATGTGGCCCCCACTGAAAATGAGGTTGACATCCTGTTCTACACTGTTGGCACTTTGATCATGGACTTCCAGCCTCCAGGAATGTGAGAAAATAAATTCTGTTGTGTAAGTTATCCAGTCTGGTATTTTGTTATGGCAGCCTCAGGAGACAAATATAATGTTCACTTCCATTGTCTATTTTTTAATTGTTCTACAATGTAGATATTTTAAATTTTGAAAAAAGAAATTTCATTTTGAAAGAAATAATTACATTTGTAAAACTAGGAAAAAGTTAAATTTTTATTGGAGAAAGAAAAAGTACGTATTTATAACGTATTCAGCTTTTGTTCTTGTGCAGTAGGCAGTTAGACAGACATGAGCAGAGCAAGGATGGTGAGCCAGGTACAGAAGGTCACCAAGAAGCAAAGCCCCAGGTGCCTTGCAATGGGCAGAACTGGGAAGACAGGTACCTTGCCGCCAGGGTAACCTCTCCTCCCCTAGCATATTGCTGGTCCTGTGGATTAGACCCCTGACCTTTCATATTGCTGGTCTTGCACACAGACCTCCCCTGACCTTTCCTCCCCTGGCATGTCACTAGTCACTAGTGATAGATGCCCTTGGAGGAGAAACAAGATGCTGAGAGGTGGCCTCATGCAACTTCCATTCAGGACCTTGCGGGACCACTCCCTTAAGCATTAATCCCCAAAGATAACATCTAGGCCTCAGTTGTGTTTCAGCTCCAGGCACAGAAAAGCAGCAAAACCAGACAAGCGATGCCGTGGCTGACATCTGGACCAGCTGCACTGACTAATGATCCCCCTGCTCTGGTGCCGACCAATCAGTAGAGACCATGACCCTAAAAGGACACCTGGAAAGCTGATGAGTATTCTATTGGGATCCTCCCTAAGACCTCCAGACCGAGGGCCGGTGCTGCTCTAGTTCCCTGGATCCTTCAGCATTTTTCCTTCCGCCTGGTCTTCCCCCAGGCATGTTAGCTTTACCTTTATGTTTCCTAAACCTCAAGGGCCCTTCTTTTGCCTCTGTAACTTGTTTCCTGAACCTACACCCCATTGGCTCACTTTTCCTACCTCTGTGACTTTCCAAATAAACTTTCTCTTATAGTTTGAGTCTTGGCTCTGAATTATTTTTTAGCCAGAACTCAAGAACTGAGGTTGCTGAACCGAGTTCCAAGTGGCACCGGTGACATTTGGGCTACATTCCAGAATGTCTGACATTCCGCCAACACCTGCAGTGATTTTTTCAGATCTCCACACCTCCACCCCTCTCCAAATTGGAATTTTTCCTCTTCTGCCAAAATCTGTTTCTCTTGATGTAGCTGTAATGGGAATCTAATCCTTAAACATATCTCAGAACTAGTAGAGTATTCCTTTTATTCAAAACTACAAATTACACCATAAGGAATTGATATCAGTGGTAAAATAATAAGTCAATGTTATCTTTATACTCACTCAGAATATTCTATTTCCTCCTGTTGGGGGCCTCAAATGTTGGAAATTCTTTAGTTTCAGGTAATAGCTAATAAGCTTAGTAATCAGTGCATGTAAAAAGCTGTTGTTCCAGGAACTGAAGGTATAACCCACCCTGACTCCAGGAAACCATAAGCAGCTCCACCTTTGTGCCTCAGGAGGACTGCAGGCAATTCAAGATGATATCCGAGCCATTGTACTCCAGGGTGAGGTGACCACCGCCCAGGACACAGATAAGAGAATGCTGCAGCTTTGTATTTGATGAACTTTCCCCCTGAATTCCAACCCCCTTGCCTACACTTTTCTTCTCCCTATAAAAAAAGGTTGGTTGAAAATGAAATTTCAGACAGTCTGTTAGAGAACAAACCCGAAGACTTCTCAAATCGCTGGCCATCTGAATAAAGTGCCCATAAAGACTCAATCCCTGTTTGTAGTTACCAGGTCTGGTCGGTGACAGGCAGCAGGAGTACCGGCTCTTCCAGTTTCACTCATTGCCATGAATATCTTTTATGTATCAGTATACAAACTATCTACCACCATATAATATTTACTACCATATAAACAGAAATTCCCTTGTCTCTGAAAATTAATCCACAATATCTTGGTAAGTTTCTTATAAAGCACATTTTGTGTTTCACATGCTCAACGGTTAAAAACTTTCACACAGGGAAAGAAAAAGAATTATATAACTTGGATCATTTCTTTGTTCTTTGAAACCCTTCAAAATGATACAATAGATCTCAAAAGCTGTTTACCAAAGAGCATAGCTTGGGGTCCACTTGCTTTTGTTGCAGACCTGGATAACAGAAAGTTGAGAGAAAGGTTAAAATTATTACTGAAACAGTGTCCCCAAATACAGAAAATCTAGCAGACCCTTTAAAAAGTATAGGTAAAACACATAGTTTGAAATGATGGAAAAGCGAATATGTTAAGTCTTTGATTTTTAAACAAGAATGCGAATTGAATAAAAGAAAAAACATGTCACAGTTCAATCATTAGAGTTTGAGCAAAACAGCTAAAGTTACATAGCTTAAAATTTTTAAAAAATTATCACCTAATAGTCATTAATTTTCAAGGTTATTAAGTCAATATAAATTCAAATTAGAATGAGCATTGTATCAGAGTTTAAGAGCCAGACTCACAGGTTATGATTCTCATTATAGTTATTTGCTAAAAAGCCAAATTCTCCCCTCACTATGTTTTTGGTCTGTTTTAAAATAAACCTCTTCTGGGCCTTGGCCAGATGGCTCAGTTTGTTAGTGTGTCGTCCTGATACACCAGGTTGTGGTGGGGTTCAAGTCCCCATCAGGGCACAGAAATGAACCAAACAACGAATGCCTAAATAAGTAGAACAACAAATCCATGTTTCTCTCTCTCTCTCCCCGCCTTCCCACCGCCCCTCCCTTCCTCTCTCTCAAATCAATTAAAAATAAAAATTTAAATAAAACTTAAACCTCTTTTAAAAATCTTACATGAGTAACTCCCAAATCAGGAGGATGTGTGTGTGTATTGATGTTAATAATTCGAAACATATCCAATTTTAAAATAATGTTAATTGGGGGGAACCATTAACGCTACAAATTAGGGTGACAGAACTTCATCTTCTGCTCAGAAGAACCCAAAATTTGGTTCTGACAAGATCCCACTAGTCAACCAAAATCAAAGGTTAGTAATTAATACCTTCATTTTACCCTTCAAGTATGTGAAAAATAATTATCATGAGGGCTAGAACTCTTAGTATCTTCTAATTCTCAGAGTTTAAAATCAAAACTCAGAACTTCAGCCAAGGTTATTTTAATAAGTTAAGGCCCATCTAACACATTGTAATTCAAGGTTTGGTGAAGGTGGGAGAAGGTGGAAGGGATTAGCTCTGCCTTCTCAGGTGATTACACAGTCTGCATGGGACTAGAACCTGGAATCTGCCTATTTTTAAAGTCAAGTGTGAAGAAAAGTTTTTTTAAAGTACAAACAGAGATAAGGGAGCTGTAGGGAATCAAAGTATTTCTCAGTAATTGGTTGTCATTTTAAAAGTAATATCTTAGAATTTCTAACTTGGTAAGGCTCTTAGAATGGGTAGCAACTAGAAAAAAAATCAAAATTTGATTAACAACAGATAGGATTCTATGGCTTGTCTGCCACCAATTAGCGTCCAGGTTATCTTGTTAAAATTCATTCCAGCCTCTGAATATTATGTTAGTATAGCCCAGTTGTTCCTCATCATAAAACCAGGGGTCTAAATTCATGTGTCTATCTTGTTCAAAACAGTTTTAAAATCTCTGGAGTAGTCCTGGCTGGTGTAGCTCAGTGGCTTGAGCACGGGCCTGTGAAGCAAAGGGTCGCTGGTTCGATTCCCAGTCAGGGCACATGCCTGCCTTGTGGGCCAGGTCCCCAGTAGGGGACACATGAGAGGCAACCACACGTTGCTGTTTCTCTCCCACTCTTTCTCCTTCCCTTCCCCTCTCTCTAAAAATAAATAAATATATTTTTTTTAATCTCGGGGATAGATATAGCCAAGTAGTTACCATATACTAGTTTTTAAAAGTCTTTGGAAGGGGAGGTAAATGGCAGGTTGAAAACTGGTTAGCAATTACCTTGAGTTCAAGTTCAAACAAACCAAATATGGAGAAACATGGATAAGATCAAAGCTACAGGCTCTGATGAACTTGAAGTATTTTTTCTTTTAAAAGCTTGCAGATGCCCTGAGAAGTCCAGATCTCAGTCGTTACTTGTCAAAACTATTCAGTCTGTCCCCTAATTTGTTCTGAGCAAATTCTAAATTAAACTGTCTAGCTTGTAAGCCTTTACCCTAGATGCAAGCGCAAAAACTCCAAGATCTTCCAAGACTCAATCTGGGCAACAGCATGAGCTTTGAGCTGCCCGCCTCCCAAAACGGGATCCCAGGCTGCAGAGAAAAAAGGGTTGTAAGGCGGATCTATTCTGTGGCCAGCATTAGGGTAGCTTAAAAGAGTGAAATTGTTATTCCCATGCTCTGTGAGGTGCTTCACAGCTATATCAGCATAAACAGAGCTCTTCCAGAGCCTGTCATCCTCTCCAACAAGAAAAGGAAATGGGCACTGGCTTCTTCAAGAGGGATGCGGCTTTCCCGATAGGCTGGATCCAAGGGGTCCTCGAGTGCTTCTTTAGTGTCATATACCCCTGAATCGGTAGCAGAGATTTTACATAGGTTAAAAGGCAGTCCTGGCAGGATCAATCCACCACATTAAGGGCAGTAGCTGTGTTAGAAATGCGACCATTGATGCTCACAACCGCAACTGTATTTGGGAGAAAGCTAGCCATGGAAACTGCCAACTCTGCCCCCTTGCCAGAACAAATCACTCCAATGTTTGGGCTTTGACCTGAAGATTGAAGAAAAAGACAAACAAGGAGAAAGAGAAAGAAAGCATGATTGTTACGGGGTCACAAAGCCCTAAATACAAAGAAAAGTCTTTTATATACTTATCACATAGCTTGCTTATTTATCCATTAATTCACTCCACAGGTATGTATTACAGCTACCTTTCAACCCTTTAGTACCACTTCCTATAGTGGTACTCTCTCCTAGTGTTAATGACTTTATTTTAAACACAGTTCTCTCTAGCATTCCACTCATCTTTGGATGACTTTGCACAAATTTAGCTGCCTCTTCAAAGTCATCTAAATTTAAGTCCTTCATAATTGGAGGTAGATCTTCATAGCCAAAAAATGGCAAAGCCAGAGCAGCAAAACCTTGACAAGCCAGGAGACTTGCTCAAGATTCATCCAATCCTCCATCACCAAACATGTCAATCAAACCGGGAAAAGGACCATCTCCTATAAGCCAGGAAATGGGATTTAATCTTGAATTAAGTGACAGAGCATTTAATAGACTATGATATCCAGCTAACATTTTCTAAGTCAAATTCCATAAATTTATTTTTTTCTCTCCTTTTTAAACATCTGCCTATTTACTTTGAAAAGAAAATGTCTGTTTTGGTTTAAATAGGAGTATTGTTGCGGTTGAAGTAGAAACTTGTTTGGGCTACTTTGAAGCTGTAAGTGTAAAAATGTTTTTATATTTTCCCCCATGAGAAAATTGCTGGGAAATAGAAAAAAACCCACAAATTAGCACCAAAGATATGGAAAGTGTTTTGATGTCAAGTGTGCCAGTAAATCTCAGCAACTATTTCTTCAAGCTTTGACTTATGAAAGTATAATACCTCATTTAAAAAAATATCTATTTTAAAGGGCCCATTGACTTATCAATGAGTTTAAGATACAGTAAGAGTCACCAAACCCATAATTTAACAAGGTTTACATTATTTTATTTTGTTATTACTTTTTTAAAATCCTTACCTGAGGATAGGTTTACTGATTTTAGGGGGATGGGGGAAATAAGAAAGAGAGAGAAACATCAATATGAGATAGAAACATTAATGGATTGCCTCCCATACACAAGGGATTGCCTCCCTTACTGAGGATGGAACCCAGAAACCTAGGTATGTATGTGCCCTGACCAGGAATAGAACCCGCCAAGGTTTTTTTGTTGTTTGTTTGTTTTTGATGTACTGGATGACACTCCAACCAACTGGGCCATCTGGCCAGGGCTGGGTTTAAACAATTTTAAATGTTTAATGAAGGTATAATATAAAGTGAACAATATGTTTAATAAAATGTCAAACTAATATCCTCCTAATGTTGATCTGTTATTTCTGTTTCAACATTCTTATTGGAGATTGTGTTATTTATTCATCATTCCAAGAGAAGAATTTCTCAGCCAATGGCCTCTTAATATTTTTCAGAAATATGCTTCTGTGTTTTTTCAGTTAAAAGTGCCAGACAAATCTATAAGAACAGAACAAAAGACAAAAACATAAAGACAGAAACCAAATTAAGACACCTAAAATTCCAGGGCCACAGAGCAGTTCTAAGTTTTCAAATCTAGAAATGAGTTAGGGCTACCAAAGTGAAAGGTACAGCATACACATTAAGGATGTGGTTTTTATAAGGTAGTTTTCTTAACACTCAGCTATCTCAGTATATCTTGATCTGCTTTTTAAAAAAATAGATAAATCTCAGTCATTTCTGGATTCAAGATTAGGTCCAGAAAGCCTAAAGCAAACCATGAAAAAGTCATAACATACACTCTGAAAACATTCTGGTAACAGAGTTTTCCAGCCACAGGCTTCAAAATATTAACCTGATTTTCCACATTAAAATAACTGAGAATTTATTTATTTTGATTTAATTCAGTAATTTAATCCCAAATATGTAAATTTGCTAGGATCTTATTGGTTATTTTTAAAAAGACGCCCACAAACACACACAATGTTTTAAATCACTCATTTAAAAGATTTTTAGTTGTTCATAAGGATCCTGAGCATGAGAGTTAAGGGGTATGCCAGAGGAGGTTTCTTAAAAATAAAAAACCTTAAAAAAATAAATATTGTATTGTTTATGCTATTACTGTTGTCCCAATTTTTACCCCTTTGCCCCCCCAACCCGTGCCCCATTCCCACAGCTAATCCCCGCACTGTTGTCCTTGTCCATGGAAAAATGTAAAAAACCTTAATATTTCACTCATTGTTTCACTTACACAGCCTGTACTTATGAAGAAAGTCAGAGTTTGGAGCTCAAAGAGTTTTGTGCGCCCTGATTTTACCATCTTCTATCTGTGTGATTTGGTTAAAATACTTTAAGCCTTGTTTTCCTCATTTATAATTAAAAGAAGTTGCTCTTTGATCTATGAAGTGAGAAACGAAAGTTTTTTCATTATGGCGAAGGGCTGCAAGGCACTAGAGAACGTCAAACAACAACAAAAAATGTCATCTTCTGCCCTGACCCCATAGCTCAGTTGGTTAGTGTCCTCCCAGCCCACCAAGGTTGTAGGTTGCTTCCAGATTGGGGCACATACAAGAATCAATCAATGAATGCATAAATAAGTGGAACCACAAATCAGTATTTCTCTCATATCAATAATTTTTTTAAAAAAAAAAAGTCGTCTTTATCCTAACACGAATCCAGTATAATAGGACTTCATTCACTTTGGGACTTGAACACAGCTCCAAAGACAAAAGACAATTTTGTATCCACTACTCTCGTCATTTCTACCAGAAATGATAGTGGCAAAAGTTAAATCAACAAAGCTCTGCCTACAAGAGATAGGCAGACAAGCATTTAAAGCTAGGAACTTGACAGCAACCATGTTTAATCCAGCAAGCCCGCAAAGTGTATGCTTGCAAGGAATGGAGTCTACTGCACTAAGGAATTTAGAAGGTGGGCAGATTAAATTTAAATGGAAATCCCAGCCACCACTTAGGAAATTAATATCGCCACTTAGGCGACAAAATAAAGGAAGATGACCAATTAGCTAGCAAGACAATCCAGGGGCGAGGCCCCGTGCGGGAAAGGCCTCACGCACCTGGGGGCAGCAGGAAGACGCCCCCCAGGGGGCCGGTTCGCAGCCGAGAGCTGGACAGCTGGAGGCTGGAAAACCAGCGCTGCACGTGGGCCAAGGCCAGCGCTGGGCCCAGAGGCAGCTCCGGCTGCTGCGGCGTGGGGTGGACAGTCACCTCCACTCTGAGGGGAGTTTTGCACAGGCCCCTGGGCATCTGGCTGGGGCAGGGGTCCTCCGAGCCGGCCTGCGCGAGGTTCCACAAGAGCCCCATTGGCTCCACGCCCGTGCAGTCGCCGCCCACAGCCGGATGCCAGGCCAGGTCCAGCCGCCCGGCCATCCGACTCGAAGTGGGCCTGCGAGACGGGCAGCTAACAGCCTACACCCTCAGTGTCTCCCGCTCCCTGGGGCCTAAGCCTTCCACTTTAATATCCAGAAGCTCGTCAGCCAGACCCGTCCTGGGCATGACGGTCAGAGTCATGGTCTTTTGGGAGAAACTGGTCGCTGTGCACACCGACCTCCGGAGTTGGAGGCGGGTCCCAGGGGTTCGGACCGCGACCTAAGCCCATTGCCACTGGCTCCGGGATCTTCTCGGACTTGAGCCACAGAGGGGACTGGAGTGCGCCACAGGCGGTCGGTCGGAGCTCCGGGACAGAGACCAGCCGAGGTAGGCGTGGGCAGGGCGGCCGAGAGGGACCGGCAGACGCGGGCGGGTCCCTGGGGCGCCAGTCAACAAGGGACTGCAAAAAGGGGCGACTTAGGAGGACCCTGGGTCGTTCGTAATTTTGGAGGTCCTGGGGTAGACCACCTGAGGGGGGTAGGAGCTCATCCGGAACCTACCCCTCTCCGGCAAGGAGAAGAAGTTAATGATTTCTGACAAAATGCTAGCGGGTTTTCGCCTGTGAAGTACCTCACTGGCCACCAGGTGGCACTGTTCTCTAAACCTGGTTGAATTTGGAGGCTACTTGTACTAGTAGTCGACAATACTGTGGTAACTACGTATGCTGCCAGGTGGGTGCTGGGAATATTGGGGGGAGCTCTTTGTAAAGTATATAATTATCTGACTACTATACTGTACACCTGAAAGCAATACAAAATACATAAAGTATACTGTAGTTGAAAAAGTCTGCAGGGAATACATGCCAAGATTCCCAGTGCATTCCTGAAACTGTAATAGTACCGAACGGTATATATACTGTTGTTTCCTGTGTACATGCCTATGATCAAGTTGATCAGTTGGGCACAGAAGAGATTAACAATCATGACTAATAAAATAGAACAATTATAACAATATGCTGTGACAAAAAGTTATGTGAGTGTGCTGCTCTCTCAAAATCCCTTATTGTCCTGAACTCACCTTTCTTCTTGTGAAGATGTGAGATCGCGATGCCTATGTGATGGGATGGAGTGAGGTGCTCAGAATGACACACAATTTAACACATGTGAGTTGTTCATCTTTGGGGTTTTCCATTTAATATTTTCTGACCACCGTTGACTGCAGATAATTGAAACTGCAGATAAGGGGGTCCTACCTCATCTGCGTATATCAGCGTCCCAGTTGGAGTTCCGGAACAAGTCTTGAGTACACATTTAGGAATGTATACTGGCAAGCATGAAGCAGAGTCCATTCCTTAGGGGGCTTGAGTGGGCAGGCTCCCACCACAGTCAGTTAGGGCCCGAAGTAGGATATGGGATTCTTAGCAATACATAATCTCAGTCCTTAGAAGAAGACCACAAGGCCAAAGCTAGGCCATCAGTTGAAAGTTGGGCAAACACTTCTTACATTTCTCCTGCTTAAGGTTAAGATTAGTCCTACAGATACGGTCAGGGTTAAGCCTAGACATTGGATAAAGTTCAGGGGAGAAAAGGGTAGACCCGCCAGTGAAGAAAAAGGGATTGCAAAGGCTGAGACTCCAGTGGACCTGACAAGGAAGCCAATATGGTTGCTTTCTTATAAAAAAATCACTGGGTGTTCTGGAAAAGGCAATACATGCTGTATGAATAGGATTTTATTAATAGTATCTCATCTGTGATTATAATGTTACATTTTACTAGGCATGACAGATTTTTTCCCATTGACATGTTTATGGAAGAAAATTTGAATTTGCTGCCAGACATCTACCTGTGCCCTTGAATGAGCCTTTGGCTCACCTCCATTGAATACTGCTAGACCCAATACTGAATGTACAGAGGCTCTAGAAAGAGGAAAATAAGGTACGTCAATACAATGACCAGCTCCTGGGCAGTAAATTATCTGGGGTCTCTCTTTCCCATGGGCTTGTAACCGTTCAGAGGCTATACGAGCATAGAATTCGCTGTTCCAGATACCATCATCCAGGCCAGCAATAAACAGGAAGGGCCCCTGGGCTTTTTCCAATGGAATAAGACTTTGGCGGTAGGGTTCCTCCAGTGGATTGTTCCAAATATTCATGAAATTTAGAAGGCCTGACTCAGTGGTTGTATGTTTCCCTAGGTCACTGCCAAGATCAGGAATAATCATATCCTTATAATGCAGAGGAGCTAGTGTGTTGGCCACACAGGAATTGACAACTATGGTGGCTGAGATGCCCTTTAAGTAAGAAGCCATTGAGAGACACAGGTCACCTCCTTTGGAGAATCCAAAAAGCCCCACACTAGGGCCTTTCACCTGATGGGGGGTATGGAGAGAGAGAGAGAGAGAGAGAGAGAGAGAGAGAGAGAGAGAGAAATGAATAAGCCTAGAATTCATAAATAAAGAACATAAACAGTGATTATATATTCTCTAAGTAGTTTTCTGAAATGTCATTTGCTTTTAGTCCTCATGCAACAGTCTACAAAGCTCAATAGTGTCTTCTAATAAGCAAATTAATGGATTTCCTAGTACCCAGGCCCTCCACTAATATTTATAGGGTCTGGGTTAAGAATGTACACAGAGACCCATACACCCTATACCTAAGTATTTAAAAGTTAAATACCAAGTTAACAAACTGTCAAATAAAATGAATTCTTTTTTCCTACCTTGATAAGGTTCAAATCTAAAATCTTGGAACTCCTTGGAGTTCTGTATTGGAACATGACTTAGGGGAGAGCCAGGCGCTGGCACAAATCCCTGGTCCCTTGCCACCCTGTTTCTTTTCCACCCTGGCTCCATCATGCACCTTGAGGGGCCTCTCACATACATGTGTGGACACCCCTGCCAATAAGTTGAAGGCCTAGGTGTATTAACATTGAAGGACCCTGAGAAGAAGCATAGGGCCTGGAAGGAGGATCAGTGCTGATCAGCAGAGAATTCTGGGGTTCAAGATCCCAAGGGCATGGTGAGAAGGGGTGACATGGGTTCCAGGTGGACACATCCCCTTGGTTTCTTGGACTCCTCACCCTCTGGGCAGTGATGCATCCTAAGGAAGGCCAGTGTGTGGCCATCTATAACAAAGTGTCCAAGGAAGAAGCCCCTTCTCCCTAAGTTTGAGGGCAGAACTGATAGTATATACAGGTCTCTTTTTCCTGGGGCCTTATCACACCTGAATAAATCAGTCATCACAGTTCAAGATCATCTAGGTTTTAGCAGCTCTGCTAAAAGACCAGTCCATGAACTTTCAACAGAGTTAAGCCATCCTACAGACCTTGAGGAACATCTTATACCTTATCATGAACATGTTTGGATCTCTAAGTTTACATAATAGCACAGAATATATATTCCATTTATTATCACTAGCAAGATTTTTTATTTAATTATTTTTCCACTATCAGATAAGAACTTTCTCTGCAAAAGCCTAATACCATTATCACACTTAAAAAATGATTCTTTAATATCATCAAATACACAATCCCCAATGATCTCAAAGATGTCTTTTTCTAGAAAGTCAAACTTTTTCCTCTATACACTCACATTAATCTTATAAATGAGAAAAATCGAGTTCCAGAGAGTGCAATTGCCTTATTCTGGATCTAAGGCCCCATGGTAGTAAAACTAGAACTCAAAGTTAGTAACTTTTTAGTCCAACTCTTTGAATTATGGTCAAGAATTAAAGGGAACTTAACAGTCAACTTTTAAGGAATTAGAGGGAGATGGGTGGAAATGGAAATAATAATCCTTTCAGTAAAACTTTTTTAGGAGACTTTCTGGCTCATGGCACATTGCTCTCCCCAGTGTCCTGGCAGGGCTTTGGGATCCAGCCCAGTCAGTGTCCGCTCTGCCTCTCCTCCCCATTCAGGTGAGCACCAGAACTCACCTTTGGATGCTGCAGCATGAAGTCCACGGCTTCTTCAAAGTACTCCAAGTGCACTTCATCTAGATATTTAGGGAGGTCTTCAAATTTAAAATAAGCCAGAGCGAGCACAGCAAAACCATGTCTGGCCAGGAGGCTGGCCCTGTGTTCGTAGAGGCCGCCACTGCTTCCACAGAGATCGAGGACCCCAGGGAAGGGCCCTTCACCTGGAGAGTACCAAAAACCATAGGAGCATTAGTCTCTCAAAAGACATTTTTGGGTTTTAGATTTCGGCAGTCAAGAAAGAGAAGTTTTTGAAGCAAGGAAATCTGAGGGTGTGGGGGGTCGGTGAAAAGAAGGACCTTTTTTTACTTTTTTAAATCCTTACTTGAGGATATGTTTATTGATTTTTTTTTATTTTATTTTATTTTTTTTTTTAGTGAGTGAGGAACAGGGACAGGGGGAGTGAGAGAGAAACATGAATGTGAGAGAGAAACATCAATTGGTCACCTCAAACCCGCAACCTAGGTACATGCCCTGACCAGGAGTAGAACCCGCAGCCTTTCAGTGTATGGGATAATGCTCCAACCAACTGAATCGTCTGGCCAGAGCTAACAAAAAAACAAAGACAGAAACAAAAACACAACAACAACAAAAAAGCCCTGGCTGGTGTGGCTCAGTGGATTGAGCAGCAGCCTGAGAAGCGTAGGGTAGTGTGTTCGATTCCCAGTCAGGGCACATGCCTGGCTTGTGGGCCAGGTCCCCAGGAGCAGGTGTGTGAGAGGCAACCACACATTGATCTTTCCCTTTCTTTCTCCCTACTTCCCCTCTGTCTAAAAATAAATCTTAAAAAACAAAACAAAATGGTGAGGAGAAGGGAGAGTGGATAAAATGCCTTATTTTATCCAGAATGTTTCACATCTTTTAACAAAAATAATATTAAGTATGGTTGACCCCTGAACAACACAGGAGTTAGGGGTGCCAATCCCTCTGAGGTCAAGAATCCAAGTATAACTTTTGACTCTCCAAAAACTTAACTACAGCTGTCCCTAGTCATCTGCAGGGGATTGGTTTCAGGACCCCTAGAAATACCAAAATCCACAGATACTCGAGTAAATGATATAAAATGGCACAGAACAATGCATACACTCAGCCCTCCACATCTGTGGATTCCCAACCAAAGATAGAAAATACTATTTTTGACCCATGGTTGAATAAATCTGCAGATGCAAAAACTTAAGGATATGGAAGGCTGATTATATATTTATTGAAAAAAAATCACTTTTAAGTGGACCTGTGCAGTTAAAAAGTCCATCTTGTTCAAGGGCCAACTGTAAACAAAATTAGAAATAACATAAGATGCACATTTTCCACCAAATTTTTGTTTTACTTTTTTTAAAAAAGATTTGAAAATGCTTTGAGAGCTATAATGCATCCTACATGTCCAGGGGATTATTAGAACATACTCCCCAGTGCCTTGGGTCCTCTGCTCCAGCCTTAAAGAATGCCATCCCTAAATGCGCCATGTTCTCTTGGGCCCCTGAAAATGGTACGCACTCTTCTCCCCTCTCCACCTTTTTGACATGGTTGACTGATTAGTCTTCACACCTAAGTTTAGATCTCCCTTCCTGGAAACACCTCCCTGGCCTCCCTTCACACACCGCCCCCCCCCCCATGAGTACCCTGGGCCTGCACCTCCCTGCCTTGGCACTTACCACACTTCTTACAGGTATGAGTATAATGTCTGAATCCTCTATTAGGCTGCAAGTCCGGAGAGGCTCCTGTCCAAGTCTGCTAGCTATTGCATCCCAGTACGTAACACAGTCCTTAATTTAACACATATTTGTTAAATGATTGAACCCTTCTACATTATTTACAAAAGCTTTTCAGTCAAAACACACACAATAAATTTTAAGTGGGCTACCTAGTAGACACTGACATAGTTAACACTTAAGATTGACTTGACTGGAAATCAGATACTAGGACTGAGTAGTGAGAGACTTTTTTTTTTTATTAATGAAAGTCTTTTGGAGATTCTTATTGAATTAGTCTGTGTGGTTCTTTGAGCTTCTACTATATCCCTGCACAAGCCTCTAGGAATATATAGTGAGGTGTAAGACCCGATTCCAGCCCCAGGAGTTCACAGTTAAGTGGACAGTCACTAAGGCTGTGAGTTGCTGAAGAATTGTAAGAATAAAGCAGGGTCTCTGGTTTTAGAGAATAATCACAGAATTCCATTTAGGGATTCTGTAAAGTGTGGCAACTCCAGCATTTCTCTATACTGTGGGTTTCAATAAAACATTTGGTTGGAAGGAGTAGGTCAAGGGTCTTTTTTCCAGGCTGCTGTTACCTAGCAAGCACTTAGTTTTTGCTTGCACTACAGATTCTCATCTCAGCACTATAGACATTATGAGTAAGGTATTTCTTTGTTAAAGGGCTGTACTGTGTATGGTGGATGTTTAGCAGTGGTGCAGGCCTCTACGCACTAGATGACAGTAGCACCACCCTCTCCATTTGTGACAAAAATGTCTTTAGATATTGCCAAAGTCCCCTGGAGTGGGGAGAAAATCATCCCATATTGAAAAACACTGACGGATTGTAATGATAGTGGGGGTAGGACTACCAGGGAGGTTTTGTTTGTTTTGATTGGAAGTTTGATGTTAAAGGGGGCAAAAATCACTCTTGCACACTGGCAGAACTCATCGCCTAATACCGGTATTTGAAACTCAAAGGTGTAGCTGACACGTAGCTTATCTCAGTAAATATATGTTGTATGCACTTTTTAGCATACTGCTAAGGGAGTGTGACAGGGCCTCCATGAAACTGTACCATGAAACTTAAAAACTTCCACCCAGAAACCACGATAGAACCTGGATCGCGGGGACCAGTTTAGGTAAGTTCCACAATCATGTGGTCCCAGGCCAGGTAACCGGCCACACAAGGTCTCGGACTCCACGTGACTCTCCAGAATAGTTGAGGAAGCAGATCACTCACCCGGCGGCAGGAAGAGAGTGGCCCGCAACCGTCCCGCGCGCACCGGCTCCCGCCGCACCCCGGGTGCGAGGAAGTCTCGCTGCTGGACCGCCCTGCCCAGGACACGCCCTCCCTCGGGCTCGTGGCCCTCGAGCACCTCCAGCTCTACAACGAAGGGCGTCTGCACGTCCTGCTTCACCAGCCGAACTAAGTCGTTCTCCGGCTCCAGGGCCCAGAAGAGCCCCATGGGCTCCAGCCCCGCGAAGCTGCCGCCCAGGGCCGGCGCGCGCGTCAGGTCCAGCGCGCCGCCCGCATCCGCGCAGTAGCGCGCGTGGGCCCGGAAGAGCGTGCCATTCTCGTCGCGCAGGGATGAGCGCAGTGTGACCTGCTGCTCCGGGTCCAGGCCCCTCACGATGATGCGCACGGGCTCGTCCCAGCGGCAGCGGCTCCCAGGCTCCAGGGTCACTGTCGCCGTCATCCGAGCGGGGGCGTAAGAGACCAGGCTAGCAGGCCTCCACTTTGGAGAACTCGGCAGCAGCGCCCAGATCCTCGGGCCGCGTTGGCAGAGTCTGGACGCTCGCAGGACATCGGGAGCTGTGGCCATCATTTAGCGACTTGATTTCAGAATTCGGACCAGCTGCACAGGGCTGTGGAGGAAGTTAGCACTGGCTGAGGAGCCTCTAACGGCAGGCTGCCCAGCTGCAGGTTGAGCCCGACGGGGCAGAGCAGCCCGATAAGCTGAGCGTGGAGGGCCAGTCACGCCACTCAACAGCAAAAGCAAGCGGACACACGGGAACTTGCACAAAGCCTCCTCGCTGAAAAACTCCCTCTGAATTCGGGAGAAAATGTCCCAGTTCTGTCTCTTAAAAGCTCTTTAGCCTGTGCAGGGGCTGGGCCCAGGCTGCCACTGAGGGGACCTGACGCACCCTGGCTCCTCCCTGTGGCAGCGGCCTCCAGCGTCCCCTTAGGGGCGGCCCGGCTAGGCAGGATCAAAGGTCGAGACTAAGGTCTCTCCCCTTTCCTGGGGATCAGTTGCTGTGGAAACTGTTGGACCCATTACTGCCAACAGGCCAGCTTGTTGACAGTCTAAGCCGTGTGGGAGGCCTTCTAGAATGTGTGCAAATCGACAAGTGTCTGAATGGAAGGAAATATCTGCTAAGAATTAAGGACTACTCCTGCAATCCAATGTGGTGATGATGGGAATTGATGTGCATAGCCCTGACTGGTGGTTCGGCTGGTTGGGCCCTGACCTGCAAAGCGAAAGGTCGCCCACTGGATTTCGGGTCGGGGCACATGCCTGGGTGGTGGGTTCTGTCCAGTCGGAGCAGGTACTAGAGGCAACTGATCCATGTTTCTCTCCCTCTCCTCCCTCTCTTCCCCTCTCTCTAAAAAAAAGAAAGAAGAGAGAGAAAAGGGAGGGAGGAAGGGAGGTGCTGACAGTTGCAAGAATCGAGTTTTTAAAAGCATCTCAGATGTGTACAGTTGACCATTGAAGAAGGGGTGGGATGCGGTTAGGGGCACCGACCTCAGGCACAGTCGAAAATCTGTAACACTAGTAATTCGGAGGATCAGTGGAGAAACATAGTCCTGATCCCTCCCTTATCCCTAGTCCTTTACCAAGCCTCTTCCTGGAGCTAAGGGTACCTAAGACCAGCTTCCAGACCAGGTAGATGTTTAAGGGGTGAGACCTACCTATGTCCCAGTCTGACCCTGCTCCTTAAGAGTGTGGTGATACTTAGCAAGCTACATAACTAGGACAGTGAATCCAGTTTCCTTATCTGTGAAATGTTTGTGTGATGGCCACATAGGCCAACACATATAGAAATACTGCCTACGATCAATACACTTAGAGCAGGTGCTCAGTGACTTTTCTTTCTCAACTCACAAATCTGGTCATGGGCAGTGTCAGTGTGAAAATTGTATCAAATTACTGGCAGGAAGAAAGCGGCACTTTCCAATAGGATAATTTGAGGAGCGTTTCCTAAAGGGACTATTTGCAAAGGCATGGGTGAGGTTAAAAAACAAAGGTTTGGTGAAGAAACTTGGGTCCGAAGGTTCAAGAGGAGAGGGCTGCCTGGCACGTGCTGTAGCCTTTATAGAGGGAGGCAGGGAGCCATGGTGAGGCGGCAGAAGTGGTGAGAGCAAAAACCTTGACTTCACCCTCCTCTTCCTCTCAAATTGTCTTGCAAGTTTTCGTAACAGCCACTTCTTTTCTTTGGCTGCACCTAACCATAGAGCTCAGCCTACTGGAGTATATAGAGCAGCATGGAGAAGGGTAGATGGAGAACGTGGAAAAGGTCCAACAAGTGGAGGCTCAATACATATTCATAAAGTGAACAAAAAGATACCAGAAGGTGACCCTGTCTTAGAACTCCATCAGCCTTTCCCATTTCACTTGCTAAAGTAACAGCGGCAACATATTTTATTTTTTATCGTCACCTGAGGACATGCTTATTGACTTTAGAGAGAAAGGAAGGGAGGGGGAGAGAGGGGGAGAGAAACATCCACGTGAGAGAGAAACATTGACTGGTTGTCTCTCATATGCATCCCAACTGAGGACTGAACCCACAACCCAGGAATGTACCCAGGAATTGAACCAGCAACATTTCAGTTTCTGGGATGTTCCAAGCAACTGAGCCACACTGTTTAGGGCAAGCTGCAACATATTTTATTTCATTTTTTATTAATAGTTCTCCCTCCCCCTCCCCTGATGCCCACTGTGAAGAGGCACAGAAATGGGTCCCAGGGGTCCCAGGCACATGAGGGGAAAGCAGTTAAGGAGGAGGTCTGGCCTGGCTGTTCAAGAGTTTCCCTCCTCTAGGGAATTCTGCACTTAGACCTCCGTGAAAGCAGTAGGTACTGTGCAGGCCACCTACCAGAGGGTGCCTAAGTCTGCAAAAGAGTCAGCCACAATAAGAATTACGAGGTTTGGCATGTTCTCATATGTGCCCCTTAACGGCACATGTAAAGGTCTAGAGAGAAAGGACATTAGGGCTACATAGCTCTCCCTTTGAGGGACCACATTCTTCGTCTTTAAGGGAAGTCCCTATACATTCAGAGAGATTAAGTTAAATGGAAGGTATAATTTTCAAAACAGCCACTTGCTGTCTGGATACAAAAACAACTTCATCGTTATCCTGCTGAGGTCTCTCATGGCTCAGTTCCCAGAACTTTGAACTGCGGGAGTCAGGGAGTCACTGAGTTGAGTGTTTGCCAAGAGTTTTGCTGTAGTTGCAGGCTGTTACTGGGAGTATGAGAGACTAACTCTTTCAGGTGCTACATCAATTACTTTTTCTTTTAAGATTTTATTTATTTATTTATTTTTAGAGTGAGGCGAAGGGAAGGAGAAACAGAGGAAGAGAAACATCAATGTTTGGTTGCCTCTAGTGCTCCCCTTACTGGGGACCTGGCCTGCAACCCAGGCCTGTGCCCTGACCAGGAATTGAACCAACCCTTTCGCTTGCAGGCCAATCCACTGAGCTACACCAGCCAGGCCCATCAGTTACTTTTGTAATTTTATTAAATCACCAGTAAGCAATGACCAGGGAGTCTGACCAAGCAACTGTTGTAGGAACAGAATGAAACACTGCTCCATGCTGTCCTAATGACCGCTGGAGAGGGAAAGCTACATTGCTGCTGCTGTCATCTGTCATTCAGCTCCCACCCTATGGGAATGAGTGTAGAAGGTGTAATCCTTAGCCTTTCATTGGTCAATCTAGAAATTTAGACATAAATGCTTAAATTACCAAGGTCCCAAGTTAGCAAAATTTCCCTCTTCTTTCTAAACAACACAAGGCCCTGAAAACACTTTTTTTAATTAAAAAAAAAAGTTTATTGATTTTAGAGAGAAAGAAAGGGGGATGAGAGAAACACTGATTGGTTGCCTCCCTGACATATCCCAACCTGGGATCAAGCCTGCAATCTAGGTATGCGCCCTAAGAATAGAACCCCCAACTTTTTGGTTATGGGATAATGCTCCAACCAACTGAGCACACCAGCCAGAGCAAGGCCCAGAGAACACTTTAAACTCAATCACGTCCCCTCCTAACTGATATGCTTTTGTTTTCATGTATTTTATGTCTATCTTGTCTTATTTAACCCCATAGGACATTATTATTAGATTTTTTCAAATTTTATATATTGATTTGAGAGAGAGAAAGGAAGGGTGGAGGGAGTGAGAGAGAGAAACATCGATTTATTGTTCTACTTATTTATGCATTCATAGGTTGATTCTTCTATGTGTCCTGATGGAGGACTGAACCTGCAACCTTGGCATATGGGGATGACATCTAACCAACTGAGCTACCAGGCCAGGGCTATCTCTGAGTTCTTGACTTCAGTTTTATCAGTTTTATTTAATTTCTTCATGAAGTCTCAATGTAGATTTTTAAAAAATCTTGTTTGGGATTTATAGAGCTTTTTGAAATTGAGAATTGGTGTCCTGTGTCAGTTTTGGAAAATTCTTAGCCGTTGTTCCTTCAAACACCACTTCAACCCCATTTCTTTCTCCTCTTTCTCTAGAACTCTCCCTCCAATTAGACTTAAGTTAGAGCTGCTTATACTTCTATATCATTTAGTTTAAAAATGTAAAATATTGATAACAGCATGTATTTTTTAATGTTCTTCAATATTTTCAATATCTTCAGTTGCCACGTCCTCTTCCAACCATGTTGTCCGACAAGGTCCAGACGTGGAAAGAAGGAATTCAAGGAATCCATCTTTATGGAAGAGAACGTGGCATACAAAGGGGGGGCGGTAATTTTCGGGGGATTGCTCTTAGCAGCTTCCTTGCTGATGTTATTCATGGTCTTACATTGTACCCTGATTCCCATAGGAAAAGGCCTTGAGGAGAAAGAGGCTCTAAGTGAATCAATGATTAACTTTGAGGAAAATTCTAAAGGGACAACTAGTTCTCCCCAGACTATTGAATCATGCCCCAAAATGGTATAAACAAGGTGTTTATAAACCCGAGTAAAAAATTATCTCTGACTGTTCCCGTATAAGAACTCATGTGATCAAAAGGTGGTGGGATTGTTAGACACTTGTATTTCAGGTTCATTTGATTCGCATAATTCCAATGAAGTTGTACAAAATAATTCCTTGATCAGAGAATAAAATCCCCTCTAATGAAATAGCTCCTGAATGTCTAAAAGTTGTTAGAGTAACAGCCCCTCCTTTATCTTGAATAGGAATATATATCAATTAGAATTAGACAGGCAAAGAAATAAGAAAAGCTGGTTAGCTATTACAAACTAAACACGTAGAAACAATTACCAGGGAGTCAGAGTCCATAGTACATAGAGAAACATTTTAGACAAAAAAAAATAGATAGCTAAGTTAGACATCACAAAGGCCTTATAATAATTTCCTATAACCTCTATTCAATCTAGCGTATCCTTTTGCCCCATGGCAAATTCTGAAAACTTTAATAAACAATAAGACATTCAAACTCTGTACATACAGCTATTTCTAACTGTCTGATTTAAAATATCCGGGTAGAAAATTTCCTGCTTCGCCTAACTGCAAATGTTAGGCGAAATGAAAATATAAAAACCTGCTTGTACTTGCAATAAAGGGAACAGAGCTTCACTGTCCTCTGAGTCGTGTTGTCGTCCATCTCCCATCGCCGACACCTTACCCACCTTTCAGGAACCCCTGGACCCAGCTGTGGCTGGACCTCAGCAGGTGGCACCCGAACAGGGACCTGAAGGTAAGACCCCCAAATATATTTTCAGTGAGGATAAGGCTCTCACTGTCTGGGTGCTGCAGACCCCTTAGCAGAATAGGCTAAGTATGAAAAGGGCGAGTAATCATGAGCCATATTGAGTCTAAACAAAGAGGACCCTTTATTGAAATTATTCAACATATGCTTAATAAGAAAAGTGTAAGAGTTACTACTCATCAAATAGGTAGGTTCCCACATTTTGCACAAGAATGTT